TATATCTGTTCATCATACATTGTACGGTATTAAGTCATTTTAAATATTTTTATTTAAAATTAAATAAATAGTACCCGATAAAAATTAATTGTACAGTATAAGCATCTCTAAGATCCTCGGAATCTAAAGAGAATCCCATTCGTGAAAGAAAAGTAAATCAAACATCAAGGGTGTTTTCCAAAAAAAAATAAAATTCAAGTGTTATAAAAACTGAAATGACACCGTCTAGTCAAGCAAACGGTCCCCGTTAAGAGCCGTGAGGGTCTGTCAGTCAGTCAGTCAGTCAGTCAGTTAATCGGCCTGTCGGTCATAATTGAAACCATGAGTCATCAACCATTTTTGTCGTCTTGTGATGACTCAGCGAGAAGGGGAAGATAGTACGGAACCATCATCTCTTTTCTTAATTGCCCTTTGACGCATTTCACCCTCTCTTCCGTACTTTACCCTATACCACAAACGTTACCCCCCCCCCACCACTTTTACTTTTACCACTTCCATACCTTCAACAAAATACCTAATTTTCTTTTTCTTGCCCATGAAAACTCAATCTTTAATTTTTGTTACATCTAATTGTTAAGCTAATAAACACAAGTGAAAATTGATTAATGTGTAACCAGAATACATCATAAAAAGTGTCGAAGGACGAGAGTTAAACTTCTACAGAGAATACTTCAGTAACTGTTATACTAGAAACAACTTAAGCCTTCAAAAAAAATAATCTTATTACTAACGTTTTATTAAGAAACCAATGTAAATATAACTTCGATTAAAAGATCTCGAAGAAGAGATACAGACTTAGGGATTCATATGTGATAATAAACGTTTGTAATCACTGCAACTGACACACAATTCAATGTAAGTTGATTTTCACCTAGATTGAGAATTGAAAGGGAGATTGTTATAAATAAAAGGGTTTTATTCTAAATACTTAACCTCAGTTACTAGTTCATGCATTTTTCCAAATTTCCAAAAATTAACTAGGAAGTGGTCCAAAACCACTTTGGTGCTGAAGTGGCACCAAGGGGAGGACGAAAGGTTGTATATAGTGGCAGAAGCTGGTAAAATGCGTACAAACGCCATTTCTGTGGGCACAAGTACATTATTGCATACATTGACTAAATTATGAGAATATTAGAGTAATGGTTATGAATTTTAGCCTAATTAGAATTTTGATCGCCGAATTAAAAGTTTGTAAATATTGTATAATGTTGAGTAATTGTTCTTTGGGCTCACTCTATTATCTCCAAATAAAAAATAAATGAAAATTTTAACAAAGTTAGCCAAAAAAAAAAAAACCCACTCCGCATTGTATCAAGTTCAAAATCAATACTCTAGATTTTTTTTAATTTAAAGACCAAAATTTTAATTGATCTTTAATTTTATTTGAGAGAGAGCGAGAGAGAGAGAGTGAGTATTTCAGAAGCTCACTGCTTCGCTGATTTTGAGGCACGAAATAGAGTGGGGGAGAGAGAGAGGAGTGGAGAACAAGTTTCACACAGAGACACACAGCTTGTCAAAAAAGCTTCATATATTTACTACATTGGGGCCTCCTTCTACCATCAGAGCCATCTCTCTGAAGTTTCCAGAGCTAGAGAGAGAAAGAACCCAGGTGACCTTTTCTTCCTTTTAACTCATTGTTCATCTCACTTGCTCTTTTTCTTGAATCCAATGCTGGGTTCTTCGAGTTTAATCCGTTTCTTCTATTAATTCTTTTTTGGGTTTTGCTGATTGAGCTAAAAGATTCAAGCTTTTTTTTTTTCTTGGGGATTAATCGCCTCCTAATGCATGTTTGATCGGATTAAAAGCGGTTTTTTTCTATCTGGGTTTTCGCTGTTGCATGTAATTAAGTCGATTTGAATTAATTTTTTGGTAATGCATTAATGATTTTTCAGGGATTCAACCCCCTTTTCTCCCTACATTTGAGTTTTTACCAAATACCAAGAAAGCTATTTTTTCCTCTGCCTTGAATTCGATTAGACATTGCTCTGTCATCTCAGACACCCTTTAATGCTCTCAATCCACCCAATAAAGAAAAAGAAAATAAAAATCTTTATAATGTATCCTTTGGGTGATCCATAAACCCAGATGTTTCTTCCAACTCAATAATCTTTGAAAAGCATCAAGTTCTTTGTGTATGTGTGGCGTTTAATAATTTTTCATGTATTTTTTTCCTTTTATTTCTGCAATGCAGCTCATGGATTAAGCAGATGATTAATGGGTTATTAGCTGTTGAGTAATCCTTGTTGATTAGCTTCTGAAAATGGTAGAAATAATGTATTTATTGATTTGAAAACCTGTTGATTTTTTTGGTACAGAAAAGGGGGCTTTTGGTTTCCCAAAGGGGGGCAATTTGAGAGAATGCTGAGGAAGAGAAGCAGGTCAGTTCAGAAGGATCAGCACCAAATGGGCCATCTGCCAATTTCTGATGCTGCCGCTGGGTCTGATGTTTTGGGGCACAACCCTAAAAGCAGCTCTTTTTTCAGTGTTCCTGGTCTGTTTGTAGGGTTGAGTCCTAAGGGTTTATCAGATTGTGATGCAGTTAGAAGCCCAACTTCTCCTCTGGATTTTAGGGTTTTTTCCAATCTAGGTAACCCCTATAGGTCACCAAGATCCAACCATGATGGGGGACAGCAGAGGAGCTGGGGTAGCAGTAAAGTAGGATTAAGCATCATAGATTCTCTTGATGATGTGAAATCTTCCGGGAGAGTTCCTCGTTCATCGGAGAGTAAGAACATTCTTTTTGGACCTGGAATGAGGATTAATAAAACCCCAAAGCCTCAGTCCAATGTCAAGCCTTTCGATTCTTCACCAAAATCTCTGCCTAAGAACTATGCAATTTTCCCTCATTCCAAAACCAAATCTCCCTTACAGAAGGGTAGTTCTGATGTTCTTTTTGAAATCGGAGAGCCCCCATCAGAACCTGAGTCGTTCGGGAAAATCCGGTCCTCTTCATTAGATTCCGGTAGAGCATTTTCGACTCTATCGGGATTGAGCAACCTTAACCCCAACTCTACTTCTGGAATTTTTTGTCCGGAAAATTTAACCACCCATCAATTCATTGGAGGAAGCCCTAATTTAGCCACCCAAATGAAGACTGGATCCATCGGGTCTAGCAATGGGTTTGTTGGGTCTCTCTCAGCAAGTGAGATTGAGCTTTCTGAGGATTATACTTGTGTAATCTCTCATGGTGCCAAACCCAAAAAAACTCACATCTTTGGTGACTGCATTTTGGAATGTCATTCTGAGGATGCCAACAATTTTGGTAAGAATGAGGAAAAGGAAATTGGATTCACCGGCCCGGGTCCGAGCTTGGACAATTTTGGTCACTACCCTTTAGACAATTTCCTTAGCTTCTGTTACTATTGTAACAAGAAATTGGAAGAGGGCAAAGATATTTACATATACAGGTACATTTTCGAGACAGACGTTTACTCGGTTTCTTATCATATGCAAGGGTCTGCTAAATAGTTTTGGTTTCAGTATGCTTATAGTCGTATATGATTTCTTGCAGGGGTGAGAAAGCATTTTGCAGTTTGAGTTGCCGTTCGGAGGAGATTTTGATTGATGAGGCGTTGGAAAAATGCAATGACCAGTCTTCTGAGAAGCCTCTCGAGTCAGATGAGGAACTTTTCGAGACTGGCATGCTTGCAGATAAATAAGAGATGCCTCTCATCCTCAGCCACCATGCCCATGATCGATGAGCCTCTCGCAGAAGCAGCTGATCATCTGTTTAGAAAGAGCTGTTCACGTGCATCGGCCGACAGCCATGGATGATCGTTTTGTAAATTCACTCGTTTGCTAATGGTGTTTCAGCTTTCATGGTCTTGGTGGATGATAGGATTCGAACTCTAACTAGTTTTGCTTTCCATAAAACGAGACATTTGATGTATGCCATCGAAGTCCTATATTTCCTTGTAATTCATGTAAAAGGGCGATAGCCGGCTTTTATGGCTCACCGTTTTTACTACTACTTCATCCTTAAGTCTCTCTTGTGGCCGGAGTTGCTGTGTAATCTTGAACCAGTTTTTGACTGAATATATAAACTAGTACTATTACATACAATTCTCTCTCTCTCCATCTTCAAATGTTGGGTCGAGGCCACAGTACTCCGGAGTATTGAATGACAGCCGTTGGATTGGATCCAAGATCTCTAAATTTGCGGAGAATTCAATACCGCGGAGTACTGTAGTTATTTTTGCAAATTTTATGCGCCTTTTGGGGTGCGGATGGAATTAAAATTTCTTGAGCATAGACTTGGATTATGATCTGAATTCACCAATAATCTTTACAAGTGCAGTTTCCGTCGACAAACCGATGGAATCTGTAGTCATCCCTGATTACAATCTCTCTGTGATAGGCCTGTGATATCAGTTTCATAGCTGAGTGGCAATCTCTACAAATCTGCCGATTAGTCACTACTCGAATCGGTAAGCTGATGTTTGTAAGACCAAAGCAAAAGCAACAGCCAGTCGTTCACTGGGGTAAGCTGATTCCAGCTTCTGCTTTTTTATGTAAACATGCACCCAATGCCATGATTCAGGGATGCAACACTAGCACAGTGACTAACGTGACCCTGTCCGGTTGAACCTTTGAACCCTGTATCTCACGGAACAACTCGACACACTTTCCCAAATCGACTAGATATACAACAGCAGTTGATCACGGTGTTCCAAGAGACCACATCCTTCACAGGGATCTCATTGAACAAGAGTCTAGCCTTCCTAACATCGAATTCCATTACACGACACTCTTGCAAAGCAACTGCTCCAACACCAAGCAAGTCTTAGCCAGTTGTCCGCTTATACTGTAACACGTAAACTACTAACGACGTTGAACAATACGAGCGTGACCAGACGGGTCAACTCTTTCCTTTGCGTTCGCTGTCAGCATTATGTCTACACATCGGGACCAGATCGACTGTAGACCACCTCAGCCGACGGTCGATCAGAATGAAGCTCAGGAACCAGTGCAGTCGAGGACGACAAGTAAAACCGAAAAAATAGAAAACAAGAAACAAGAATTTCATCGGACTTGAGAGAGATCATCATACATCTTGCCTTAATTTCAGGGAAAAGCCATACATAGAAATACATGACAAGAAATACAAATAAACGAAACATGACGGTGCAACCCCGGCCACAGCTCTGCAACATAAGACAAAACCCGCACGACCACCTCCCCCGATATGGCTAGGTGGTCAAGAGAGTACGGGGCTTTTGTTACGAGTCTCGTCACACATGCGCAGGTGCACACTGATAGCCAATGCTCAAAGCAATTCGATTGCAAAAACGTCGCCACCGGCTCAGCCTCTGGTTTGTCGAGTGTTGTAAGATTTACAGTTCGGGCATTTCCGGGCCACAACATGGTACTGCACTTGTGAGCTTTTGCCGCAGTCGTTGCAGAGGATCGAAACCTGTCGAAGAGGATTGAATAGTAATGAATTCTATCGGCACAATACTTGCACACTAGGAAAACTTTGGTGAGACGGGAGAGGGAAAGTACCAATTTGTTTTGATAGGGTTCAGGCATCGGTGTAGCTGCAATCTCCATATCATATTTCTCCCATACCTTAGACATATCGCAAACTGACTTGGAGCAAAGAGGGCAAGCGTATCTGTCATCAAATACGAACCGCCAGGTCAGTTCGATTCTACTTACTATGCTCAATCAACTCAAAAGAAAAAAGGAACCAAAAGAAGAAATCCGTCGTATACTCACTGATAATGGTCCCTCATCCCTTTTAAGCAATTCTTGTGAATAGTGTGCCCGCATGGCATGACCGTAACATCATCTCTTGTTTCGAATAAGAACTGCAAAACACCAATGCATGTTCGGTAAGGCATCAACGATACCAAAACAAAATACTTTAAAATCCGTCTTAAGAGGATAATGAAAAAACTTTAGTCTTACCTCAAAACAAACAGGGCAGTCGTGATGCATTGCTCCCTCCACACAGGGATGGCTGTTCTTTAACAGCATTGAGTAGCAGCAACCTGACAAGAAGATGGATTTACATCAGTAACGAGATGATAAAAAAGGATGCTCAATTTCTTTGAAAATAACAAGCACGCATTAGTTACCACACTTGTCACAGTGAAAGAAATTCTCACGCCCCCCAATTCTGTCACAAAAGAGCACACTCGAGTGAATACTTCAGTAATTAACAATTCGAGAAGGCATAAAACTACAAAGAAAATGGTTAATGCATACGAGAGAAAGTGCATAAGTGAGTGTCGCAAGAACTGATGCCTCACAAAGCATATTGAATAAAAAGACCTATCACGCTCTGGTGCCAAAAGATAATACCAAAGTGAGACTCGCATACTATGTGGTTAGCTAGACATCTCAGTACATTTTTTAATGGCAGTTCAATCGTCAGGCTTTACAAAAAGAGAACAAAAACAAGGACATGAGAATTCTACCTGCAAATCCCACAGCCATTGCAATGGTACTGTTTCTTAGATACCTGCAAAAAGCAAAAAAGGATCATCCGCCTGCACGAACTAGTCACTTCAAAGCATCATATGTTCCCATACCAGGCTTACACCAATATCCTAATCATATATCATCGAAAACTAAAACAGATGTACAGAAAGTGAGGCACTTACATCATCATCAAAGAGCTTGCAAGTCTCACAGAAGTATTTCCCCATACATACACCACAATTAATACAAACTTGTTGAACCTGGTAAAGAAGCAGCAAACAAAAGACACTTCAGAAAAATGCGAGCGAAATTCTCATCACTAAGGAATTTTCTTATCTGCTACACCAGCTTATTTTCACGATGCAAAATATCTTGATTAAGTACTTGACGCAAATCCAAAAGAAATGGATCTGCCAATAACCCAAACTCACCTCTTGCTCAGTGTTGCAAAGTGAACATATCACCTGAAATATCATGCATGTGTTGTCAGCTTATGAAGCAGAACAGTATAAGTTAGCTTATTAAGAAGCCAAAAAGGATAAAGAGATGCATGAACTCATAAACGGATTTACCTGTTTCACTTGATGGCGTGGTACGTCATGTCTATGCTTCTGATCAACGCTAATATCATTCTGTATACCAAAATGAGAAGTCAACACAAGCTGATACAAGCCAAAGAACTATCAACAAATACGTCACAAAGCCAGCATTGGTTATAAGGGCTTATACTCTGAAGTAGTTCAAAATCATACACACACCTTAGCTTCGTTATGACAATGGCGACAATCAAAAATCTCTTTGCAGCAAGGAGCTCTAATACGGCACCTTCGCCGGTAGTGTGAACATCTGTAAAATAAAACCATCATAATGTTATCTTCGTGGCAACCAAAGAAGAAAAGAAAATAAGCGAAGAAATGAGTAAGAATAATTACCCATATTGCATATATCCTTTCTCTAGCAATTCAGCGGCCTCTCCAGTATCCTTCGATTCAAATTTGAGCTTATACTTGCCATTCGATAGATTACCGTGAGCATCCCCCAGTACATTCTGCCTAACCATTATATCTTGCATACCTCCAAACGGATGTGGCAATACTTAGAAGCTGGAAATAAGCCTGAAGCACCTGCATGTACAAAAACGTTTAACACCACTTGTTAAAGCTCAGAGGCATTTAGTCGCCCAATCAAGGCGGGCAAACACCCCATGACACTGCTTTCTTCTATAATGCTGCAGACATTTGAAATCAGCTACAACAAATCCAAGCAAGGTTGAACAGCTCCAATCAGCATTTCCCCAAGAGGAGGATTCATCAAAACAAGTAGACATATAAACAATAACTGCAATGCAGCGCTTGGGAACTCCAGAGATTCCATCTTTGGAAAGTAAGCAACAACATTGCATCGCTTGATTCCTTGAAGAAGTCTCGGAACCAAATCCAACTATACTGGGCACAACGATTTGACGCCCCAACCTATGGTACAAGCAATAGATCACACAATCAAATGCGTTTTAGAAAGTTGTAACAAAATAGGGAAAGAACGCTACAGATGGAAAAATGTGTTTTGTTGATTGTCCATACAGAACAGGCCTACCTCAATTGGAATTCCGCACCATCTCTGCTTCGAGTACTGAACTTACCCAACAGGCAAAATTTTAAAGCTCTATACCAACAGACTTTGAGTGGCTCTGCTTGAACCTTATACAGTTCTTTCATTATCAACATTTTGAACTATACAAATAATCACAGCTTTATCTCTTGATTCCCCATCTTCTAATGACACGGCCTCACGAATAAGCCCCCTTAACCAAATGAATGGGAGCAAAACCCTTGTCTCACTGACCTTAGTTGCAAATCGATAGGTTTCAAAAACGATTTAAGGGTTGAAAAAATAATAAGGAAAAAAGAATAATGACCTTAGAGCATGAGCACTGAGAATCATAATACCAAGAGAGTAAATCAATGCTCAGATTAGCATTAGGGGGGAAACGAAGATGACCCAAAAAATCATGTTCCCAGCAATATCAGATATGAGCCATACGGCAAACCCACAATGCTGTGACAACAAAGAAGTGACGACAAGACCACACTTGTAATATTAGAAGCCATATATTGGGATAGAGCTTTGACTCAATCAGAACCACGATAAACAAGCATATACGCTCTGCACTTGCCAATTTCACCTCTGATAAGGATACAACAGCCCTGCAGATACTGCCGCAGAAAAACCGTCAAATACTACATATAATTCAGTATTTTAACTCCAGCAACTCATTATACAGAAAGCAGAGGATAAGACCCTGCAGCATGCTACCCTATCTTCCAGTACAGTGAAAAACAAAGAAAGTAATCCTGTTATGTTGTCTAACTTTGGTAAATCAGTCTCCTTAAATTTTAATACATATCCACAAGCTTCAAGGTGCAACCTCGATAAAGTCTGAACGTTAAAGGCAAGATGCACATCGCAACACCTGAAACCAAGGTTCAGAGAAAGTCCCAATAACCAACACTGGCCTTGGCTTCTAAACGCACAAAATGCACACGACGGCTGTGGAATGCTCCAGAAACAAGAAGTTGAGCTCCAACATACGGGATGCACCACCCATAAAGAGCGGATGATGCCTAACAGCAATACTCACAGCGATTCCAATCACAAGTTGAAATCATTTGCCCCTCAACTATTATAAACCTCCAACCCAAAAAAGACATAAACAACCTCGATAATGTTTTCATTTTTACAAACCCAATTAAATCACTTATTATTTGGTTAATTTTATCTGGACTTTATTCAGCAGGTAGCTGAAATCAGGTAACAATTAATAGACAAGAGATTTTGCCCCCCAACCAAATGAAGCCGTCGTCAGTAAAACTAAAGCAGAAAGAAATCCACATAAGTAGAATCACGTTCGTAACGCTCACGGTGTCCATACTCGAAATTCGTTCTCTTTTGCTCCTCGACACACACGTTTCAATAAATAAACCAAATTTGGAAACTAGAAACAAAAAGCTAGGCGCGGACTCAGTTCCTTCCCAATGTAAACTCAGCAGTCTCACACACACGTCATCACTATACAAACATCTCACGCAAGGGCAGGGCTAACGATTTCTACAAACACATCTAGGGCCAGAATCACATTTCCCTAAAACATTAGCTAAACCAAACACAACCATTATCGTCATCGTCATTAGCAACAACCACCAAATTACATGACAGTCAAATCAGCTAAAAATTACCACAAAATTAAAAACTACAGCAGGTTTAATCCAATCAACAATTCATCAAATCAAATCCACCACAGACCACGCAATGCACCATAAATTCACACAATTCATTGCAAATACGATCAAGATTCAGAATTCATGCAATAACACGCCAAATAAAGCTAAAGATTAAACACAATCTGCAGAATTCAGAAATTTCAGAACCAAATTACCTACAATTATAATCAATTAACGCAAAACCAAAGCCAATTCAATTCAAAACAAAACAAATTACGAATTATATGAACTTCTTAAAGAATAACGAACTTTCAATCCGCCGCGACACAAAAGCGATGCAGTCGCCGAATCCAAATCCGATAGCAAACGCCGATGAGAATCCGATTGGTTATCCGGAGCTCCGACTGAAACTGACACAGAGAGAGAGAGAGAGCTAGAGATAGAAAACGCAAAGAAGAAGATAGAGAGAGAAAGTGATGCCGAATGATGAGAGAGAATTCGAAGGCGATTGTATTTATACCGAAGATTTGATCGCTTCGCGAGCCTTCGAAATTGCCTCGAAATCGAAAGCGTCAGGATCACTGGCGACAGCTCTCTGCAGTAAATTGTCTGAAAATATCCCCGCGCTTTTACTCATTCAATAATCTGGTTTTAATCCTCTGCAGTCTCGCTCACTGTATTATTCTGCACATGCGAATTGAACAGTCCTCATGCCTTAATTAGCTATCCGACGGTGGAAAACAGAGAAACCACAGTCATTACATTGTAGCCGCCTGCATGGTAACATTATCCTTTAAAAGTCGGTGATATTCTCGTAGACGAAGTTCGCCGTTCAACGTAACGATCCAATCGGACAAGTCAGCGTGATGGCGCTCCAGCTTGCAATTTGGATTGGGTTGGCGACACGTGTTACTAAATTTGGCCAAGGTTGCTTAATTGCTTGCCACGTCTGCAGACGAGATCAAGTGACTTGACGTGGATGATTTTGGTGGTATTAAATAAATAAATATCTAATTAATTAATTAAGCATGATTGTAATGCGGATACGTTTAGTTTTTGGAATTGACTTCTTAATTTCTCTCAAATTTCATAGTTATCCATTGAACGATTACTTATATTATTTTCAATTAATTAATATGACGAAGTTTATCCATTAACATTAGGGTCATATGATTGCCAAGTTCCTTAGAGGCTTGGAACCAATTTATATTCGTTTTTGTTGTTTAGATTACGCTTTTAGCTTGTTTGACCCAACGTTCTGTCCATAATAATAATTGTATATTTGTTCTTATTATCTCAACAATGATTCGGTTAATTTTTTTGTGTTGATTGAAATTAGTTAATTTGTATGACTCGGTTATCAAAATACAATCCTAACTTATGTATGTCGTAACGTTCTATCCATAACAATTATCTTGTAGTCATTTTTTCTTTGTCTATCTCTAACAATGTGCTCTTTGCTCGTGGATTACAAACCGGAGAAAGATGTGCTAATACTTTACTATTCCAAGAATGCTAAAAAATGATAAGATTTGTACAAAAAGCCTCTCACATCTTGTAATGTGTAGTATGCCAATTAGAATCATTGAGATAGAAGGTTATACATGGGTCCTGGTATCTTGAATACACAATGGAACTAGGCAGGCACTGCGGATCAGTCTGATGCTTTATAAATTGTGCTTCTATATATAATAGCACTTTTTTAAAATTTTCAAAAGCAGTCTGATTGGACAGTTGTATTGATCTTTTTTGTTTGCATGCATGAATCCTCTAATTCCTAACGTGAGAAAATGAACTCTATGCACTCTCGTCACTTCATATTTTTGACACAATGTTTTATAATTTTAGTACAAGAATTGTGCTAAAAATATGAGGTGACGGATAGTTAATGAAAAATCCTATTTTTGAGAATCTCCTTAACATTTCTGTTCCTAATGGTGAAGTTTTTGTGAATGACTATCAGCCAAATGTATATAGGTTTAATATACATAACCAAACTAATAATGTGGTTACGACTCAAATGCATCTATGATTCTATAGTTACACATAAATTATCAACCATTAATGTAAATGTAAATCTTTCGGATGTAATCGAGCATTAATGTCTATGAGACTTATTGCATCTACGGTTGAAAGTTGCATACAAATATGATGCACGTGTAAAGTGTTAGTGTATCTAGGTCTAATACGCGTAATCAAATATTAACACATTCATCATAAGACTCGTATGCATCAACGGTTAAAAAGTATATGCGTTCATAGAAGGCCGTCATTAGCTCAGCTCAAACTCTTAATTATATTTCCTCACTATTAAGACTCAGCTCGGCTCCCTAAATTGGTGTCAAAAACTTGATCAAGTCCAAGACGAGAGAGTAATCGGAAACCGTCCCAAAAAAAGGGTGTTTATTTTTTGACTGATTCAGTTTTACACAGATGTAATAAACACATGCACTCATCACTTCCAGTAAATCTCATTTCTTTACCTCCAACTGCTACCACTTCCGACACACAAAGTAGAGTGGAAAATTGAAGATTTACCTCTAACTGAGCTTTTTTTACTTTTACAGTCGATGTTTTGATCAGTTTTCCATCTCCAAAATCCTCTCTTTTTCTCCGATACATGCTGAGAAAGCTAGAACAGAGAAATTGAACCCATTAGATGTGATCTCTTGTACGTGATGAAGAGAAGAAACATTCAAATTTTTCTACTCCCCATTTTCCTCGTACCGATCTTTTTCCTAGGTGCCACCACTGGCGAAGAGCTTCCAATTTCGCACAATGCCGGCTTGAGAGACTCGTCGCACACCTTGCATTACAAGCAAAGGCAGCTCTTGTATTACACTGACCACCATGGGTCACGAGGTGTGACTGTGACAGCCGCAGGCTCCCTTGTTTTTGAAAACCCTAGACTCAGAAGTGCCTACACTGCCCTCCAAGCATGGAAGCGAGCCATGGTCTCGGATCCTCGGGATCAAACATCCAACTGGGTTGGATCCGATGTATGCAAATACACTGGAGTCTTCTGCGCCCAAGCTCCAGACGACCCATCAGTCCAAACTGTTGCTGGCATTGATCTAAACCATGCTGACATTGCAGGGTTTCTCCCGGAAGAGCTTGGTCTTCTCCTAGATATTGCATTGTTTCACATCAACTCAAATCGTTTCTGCGGCAAAGTCCCGAAGAGTTTCAACAAGTTGAAGCTGCTTTTCGAGCTTGATCTAAGCAACAACCGCTTTGCTGGGGAATTCCCTGATGTTGTTCTTCAGCTGCCAGCACTAAAATTTCTGGACCTGCGATTCAATGAGTTTGAAGGTAAAGTCCCCAAGGAACTGTTCGATAAGGACCTTGATGCAATCTTCATCAACCACAACAGATTTTCCTTCCAATTGCCAGATAATTTTGGGAAATCGCCGGTCTCAGTCATTGTTCTTGCCAACAATAACTTCCACGGATGTGTACCTGCCAGCCTTGGCAAGATGTCCAAGAATTTAAATGAATTGGTGCTTGCTAACAACAGGTTCCACTCGTGTTTGCCAAAGGAGATAGGGATGCTGACGAATGTGAGACTGTTTGATGTGAGCCATAACCGGATTGTGGGAGAGTTGCCGAAGGAAATAGTTGAAATGGAAAGCTTGGAGCAGCTGAATGTGGCTCATAACATGCTCAGAGGGACTATACCAGAAGGGGTGTGTGAACTTCAGAATCTGAAGAAATTTAGCTTTGAGCACAACTTTTTCACTAGCGAACCACTGATGTGTTTGAAGCTGGAGGAGTTTGATGACAGCAAGAATTGCTTGCGGAAAAGGCCAAAGCAGAGAACCTTTTTGCAATGCAAATTGGCTTTGTCTAAAAAAATTGATTGTAGTTCTTTTGGATGTCATCCTTTTGTTCCTCCTTTGCCACCATCACCACCACTGCCTTCACCATCACTATCACCGCCTACACCATCACAACCACCGCATCCGCCATCACCATCGCTGCCTCCGCCATCTCTATCACCTCCGCCACCATCGTCACCACCACCGCGTCCACCATCTCCATCGCCACCACCGCCTCCACCATCACCATCTCCATCACCGCCACCGCATCCGCCATATCCATTGCCTCCCCCGCCATCTCCATACCTTTCGCCAAAATTACCATTACCACCTCCACCATCACCACCACTGCATCAACCATCACCGCCACTGCATCTGCCATCTCCATCCCCACCATTACCATCACCACCTCCACCATATTCATCGCCTCCTCCACCATCACCAATACCGCATCCGCTATCTCCGTCGCCTCCTCCACCATCTCCATCCCCTTCTCCGCCATTACCATCACCACCACAGCATCCACCATCACCACCATTGCCTCCTCCGCCATCTCCATCCCCTTCACCTCCGCCTCCACCATCACCATCACCGCATCCGCCATCTCCATCGCCTCCTCCACCGTCTCCATCCCCTTCGCCGTCATTACCATCACCTCCGCCCCCATTACCATCACCGCCTCCACCATCACCACCATTGCCTCTGCCATCTCCATCACTGCCTCCGCCATCCCTATCACCTCCTCCACCATCTCCATCACCTCCTCCACTATCTCCATCACTTCCGCCGCCATCACCTTCACGACCACTGCCTCCTCCTCCTCTTCCTCCACCTCCACCATCCTCACCTCCTTGCCTTCCCTCTCCACCACCCCCTCCACCATGCCCTCTTCAGAATTCACCACCACCACCAACACATTCTCTTATATCGCCACCTCCACCACTTCCTTCACCTCCTTCACCTCCATCCCCACCACCATGTGTGCCATCTTCTCCGCCTCCGCCTTCACCTTTAGCACCAACTCCAGCATATGATGGCCCATTATCACCAATTAAAGAAACCTCCTACCCTTCACCTTCACCACAACTGTATTATTAGTGATTCCTTTCATTTTCTTCTCCACCTTCCAGACAGCTTAGCGACTGATACACTATAGTGAGTACACTCCCACAACTCCGAAAAGCGTTTCAACTTTTGAAATAATTGCCAACTCTTTTTCTCTACCACTGCAACCAAGGAACACAAAAGAATGCCATCAATTATCAAGTTACATGGTGAAGGTGGACACGAGAAGTGGGAGACATGCACAGGGAAGGTTATTCTTTTTGCTTCTTGTTTGACATTTTCACATTGTTATGGACTTTTTTTTTTTTTTTTTTTTTTTTTTAAGTATATAATAAGTTTGGAAGATGTAGTTCTAGGCTACTTGGAATGTAATTACAGAGATCTCTAGATTCATATTTCTGTTATATTACGAGCCTTCTTTTGCTTATATTCCGATCTAAATGTATTATGCAATGATGGATATTGGATTGAAAATGCTTACAAATATTTAGAAAAAGTTAGGTCTCAATATTACCTTCTGCATTGCTCTGCTTCGCTATTCATGAATCGGAATAAGCAACCGTAGAATCTTTGTTCCATCTTCGCTACAGGCAGAAGAAAGTCACCAATCTTCATTTTCATTTGAGAAAGGAAAAGTACTTGAGAAGCTAAATTAAAAAGCAGATGACAGATGAACAAAACCGATAGCCGAAATGAGAAGCGTGAATACCAAAGAATTTCAAAGCTCACTGAGGCAAAGCCTCAACTGTACATCGAGTCTTGACCTGAGCCATACCGAAGAGCATTACTTCAAAGCCCCATGCATGCGAGCATCTCCATTTTGATGGACTAATCAATCGAAACGAGGAAAAAGTACATTTTCAACACGGCTAAAGGAACAATGAACTCCTGCACATAAACATATGCACGAGTAATAATAAAGTACAGAGGCAACGTACAGTTTATATTCAAGATATCCATCAACCCTTGGCTTGTTGATACTCCCCTCGAGTATCTTCCTTCTTGACTCGGCACGGAAGCTAGCAGGCATTCAGCACTTGAAGATTCTCCCTTTACAAAATCACCCACTCTAGCAAATGGCATCAGGGCGATATCATCACCACCTTGGCGACCGCCTTCTACTTTCACCCATTTGATATGAGCTGCACAAATTCAACCTAAGGTTTTTAATATAATTGGTCTTTGTTAGTTTCCAAATTCCAAAATTCCCAATCTCATGTGGTACCTCTTAACTCAATCTAACATGCAAAACACAAAGGTAAGAAATTTCAAAGCTATTTAAAATTACTAACTAGAAGTGCTTATAAATTAAGCCAAAATCACCATAAGCACTTCAAAGACAGCAAAAGTAAAAGCATTTTAACAAAATTTACCTTGTGTTCATGGCCCTTCATGATTCTCAACTAGCCCAGAAGTTGTACATTCTGAAACTTTTACTTGCATTAAACTTTATACAATCAAAAGAAAGCAAATTGGGCAGCTCTAGAAAGAGGAAAACCAAAGAGCAGCTGGAAAAATGCAATACGTTACAGTTTACATAAGTAAAAAAACCAGAAGAGCGTAAAAGTAGTAAATTTGAAGAGGGTAATTTACCTCTAGGGTCTGCATTTCGAATGGGAAGCCATGGGAGGAGTGTGATTCAAGGTCTTCCAAGTCTTTCAGCGGGAGTGGAAGCTTTTGCTTTCTGGAATCAACTATCAGAGATCGGACAAAGCTGTTAATTTACCAGAATCCCCTCAGTTTTACTGCCTTTATTTCTTGGCATGTGATATGCACACACCTCATTTTACTTCTCACACATCTTTTTAATTTTTGGCCGTCGGATCAGATAAATTGAAGAAGATCAACGGACAGAAATCATCAAGAGGTGTGTGAATAGCACATCCCTATTTCTTTTCCTTGTTGGGCTAGACAATTAGGTCCAGCCTAAAAAACACGTGGGCCCAATAAGTGTGGCAGTTATCCCAGCGCGAAACGATATAATCTCATTTTGGCAAAGTGCTGCTGAACAAATGCATGTTGCCATATCACAATTGTCTCGTTACAAATGTAGTGACTATGGTCATGCCTTAGATTTGGGTAAAGTTCACTTTGATGATCGTTCTTCTTCAGTTAGTTTTTTTTCGTGAAGATTGACTGAAGTACTGGTGCAGTGAAGATCGATTGAAGTACTGGTGCAGTGACGAAGGCAGCGGCGTTAGGCGTCGAGGCGATCTATCAAACGCCGTTCCGATGCCATCACTCTCGGCACTCGTTATCAGAAAGTTGTCGCACTCGTCGATTTGGTCCTACTCTCCCTTATTTCCCTACATTTCATCGTTCATCTTGCTCGTTGCGAAAACATAGAAATAAATTGCAATAATCTGCTGGCGGAAGATGGTTTTGGGTTACCAGAGCATATACTGGATCAATTCAATCAATTGCTAACCGAACAGTCAGGGAAAAAAAGTGAGGATTTGTATTTTGGATAAGCTCAAAAACCTGTGTATTTGGATTTTTTAACTTTTAAAATTCAAATAAACTAAAATAGAATACTATTCGTGTTTCATTTTCATTTTCCTGCATTTTCTCAGCCACCAAACAAAACCCAATTGACATAATTAATCACAAAGCTTGGATTTCAATCGACAATGAGATTAGGCCAACCTAAGTTGCATGGAACGGCAATTTTGAAGACTTCCTTGATCTTGTTCTTGTCGGTTCTCCATCGCGCCGACTAGAACATTTTACACTAACCAAAAACCCAACACAAAACTCGCCGGCACTCTCACCGGAGTTCCGGCGCTATGTGCCGGAAAATCACCACTTCTGAAGTGACCAATCCCAGCTGAGAACCAAGCTCTCTGCTTTTGAAGTGTGATGGCATTGGAATGGCGTTTGATGGATCGCGTCGGCGCCGTACGCCGCTGCCTTCATCACTGACCATAAACTTCTCCATCTTCTCCGGTGTGTGAACTGTTGTTGTTTGCGGCAGTCGTGTGTATTTGTCTACTTAATTTTTTTAACTTTTAAATATTACCAAAAAAGTTAACAGAGTTATATTTTAGAGTAAATTGTAGCAATGATCTTTTAATTTTAACTCAATTAGAGTAATAATCTCTTAACTAAAAATTCATTACCATTGGTCTCTCAACTCATTAAACGTGCAGCTATGATCCTTTAACTAAAAATTTATTATTATTGGTCCCTCAACTTTAATTCAACTAGAGAAATAATCTCTTAACTTTAATCCAATTGGAGCAATGATCTTTCAACTTTAACCCAATTGGAGCAATGATCTTTCAACTTTAACTCAATTGCACCAATGGTCATTCCACCACTCATTTTCACAAAATTTTGACGAAGTTAATGAAAATGACTATAGTTACATGTTTTAATGAGTTGCCCCAATTGTAGCAATGATCATTCCAACATAATTTATTTTGACAAAATTCTAACAACGTTGACGAAATAATCATAACTACACATTTTGATGAGTTAAAGGACTAATGGTAATGAATTTTTAGTTGAGAAACCGTTCCAATTTTATTAAAGTTAAGAGACCATTGTTGTGATTTATTTTATATTTTATAAAAAAACATGTGTCAAAATAATAGAGAGAAGACGAAAAGGAAGACAGCAGAACCGGAGCCGTTTTATAACTTTGATTTTATCAGTTCTCTTGAATTAGAGCACGTGATTATATATATATAAAAAATAAAAAAATAAAAAAAAAACCTCTCGGGATATATGACCCAAATACATCCACATCCCCTCCTTTAGACCATCTTCAATGGTTGGGCTAAAAGCCAAATTTTTTAGCCTGAAAAATTTAGCTTTTAGCCCAGAAACAACTTTTCTGCTCCAACCGTTCTGGCCTAAAATTTTAGTCCATGATTATTAAAGAATGAACTTATGCTATTTTTTTTGTTAAATTAATTTTTTTAAAAAAAATAAATATGTAGACTATCGTAAATTAATTTTATGAACATTTTAATCTAAAAAAATTTAAATTCCGATAAATATTGAAAAATCACTAAATTTCTCATAAAGTAAGCCGTCAACTTTTACCAATCTTTCAACCCTGGGCTAACTTTCAATTCACCAAACTTCGAACACCAAATTTTCAATTCACCAACCGTTGAACACCACACTTTCAACTTTCACCAACTATATAAACACCAAACTTTCAACTTTCACCAACTATATAAACACCAAACTTTCAACCAACCATTCACCACCAAACTTTCAGAAATCATCCTCTATATAAACATATGTCCAATATTTGTTGATCACACAACCTTTCAACCTTCAATCATCCTTTATATTCACCCATATTTCAACTTTCAAAGAGTTTTTGTTTCCTAAAAATCCTCAATATCTCATCAATGGGTGATAGAATAAGGCGTAGTATGGCAATGCAGATGGCACAATACCAAGCAAGGATGGAGATTGAGGATGCAGAATTGTTCAATGCTGAAGTTGAACTATTCAACTCGTTTATGCAATCTGAGCACAATGGCGAATCTAGTCATCGTGGTTCTGTCACGGGGCGTTCATATGTGCAGCGTGATAAAGAAGAGTGTTATGATCGAATGATGAAAGATTATTTCATAGAGCGTCCGAGATTTCCTGCTCATGATTTTCGGAGGCGGTTTCGGATGAGGAGAGAGCTTTTTGAAAGCATCTTGAATGCAGTTGTCAATCATGACCACTACTTTGAATGGAAGGTAGATGCCACAGGCCGACAAGGTCTATCACCTCATCAGAAACTCACATCTGCTTTTCGCATGCTAGCTAATGGATGCTCTGCAGACTCAACTGACGAGTATTGCCGCCTTGCAGAAAGTACTGCTATTGAGAACCTGAAGCGCTTCTGTAAGGCAATTGAAGGCATATATGGAGCCACATACCTCCGCAACCCAAATCGTGCAGACTTGAAGAGGCTTCTACGCAAGGCAGAAAAAAGAGGCTTCCCTGGCATGATAGGAAGTCTCGATTGTATGCATTGGGAGTGGAAGAATTGTCCTATTGGTTGGGCTGGCCAATTCAAGGGCCGTTATGACAAGCCAACCATCGTGCTCGAGGCTGTGGCGTCTTACGACACATGGATTTGGCATGCTTTCTTCGGTGCTCCTGGATCAAACAACGATATCAACGTTCTTTGGTCTTCTCCTTTATTCGATAATGTTGTCAATGGATGGGCACCATAATTTCGGTACAAGGTAAATGGTAATAGGTATGAGCTAGGTTACTACCTAACTAATGGTATTTATCCTAGTTGGTCTACTTTTGTCAAAAGTTTTTCTCATCCCGATAGTGCAAAGAAGAAATTATATTCGCAGAGGCAAGAGTCTTACAGGAAGGATGTGGAGAGAGCGTTTGAGATTCTACAAGCTCGATGGGCCATTGTTAGAGACCCGATATGATAGGGTCACCTTGAGTGAGTATATGAGACGTTTAAATAGAATTCAAGCTCCTCAATGTCATGACACACTCCGTAAAGATTTGGTTGAGCATGTATGGTGCCGAGAAGGTGAACGTTGATGATGTTGGTTATGCATTTATGTAATAATTTTAAGTGTACTATGTTGTTATTTTCTAGTAATAAATTTAAGTGTCTTTTTGTGCAAAGTATTTTGTCTAGTACGTTGGATAAATGATAAAATGGAGGTTGAATTATTGAAGGCATCTATTCTACATCAAAGTGGAGAATAATAAGACATAAATTATTGGATAATTAATAAGACATAAATTATAATTCACAAACCACAATTAATAAACTTAATTAATAAAGTACATAATTAATAAACTTAATTAATAAAGCACATGATTAATAAACTTAATTAATAAAGCACATAATTCATACACTACATAAACTTAACAATCATATCCACTATCTTCACTTGGTGATGAACTTCGTTGAAATGTTGGGATATAGGGTTGAGAAGATTCATCATCTTGAAACATACTCCTTGAGGCAGATTTTCGCATAATTTCCTTTTGCTTACCACGTAAGAACTTCTTCCTCTCTGGAGTGTATTGGCTGAGGTCCTTCATCATGAATTCAATTTCAAACCTATTTTCCTCCCTATCCGAGATTTCCTTCATTTGCAAACGCATTCGAGCCGCTTCTTTTTGGCGAGCGCTATGAGTCTCGTTCAATTTTGCCATTCCGGTATCAAAGTGTCCACTCATCAGATCTTGGGACTTCCCTTTTCTCTTTGCTTCCTTTTGCTTATCTCTTCCTGGGGGCCTTGCAAAAGAAGGAGATGGGGTCATTTCATCAACACCTTCAGCAACACGTTCATCTCCGGCATTTGTCTGTGCAGCTTCACATTGAAATAATCTTCCCCATTGTTGGTCCGCATCGGTTCCCCACCTTGGACAATCCTTAAGGATGTCCCAAGTATGTTGCAACTTAAAAACTTGATTTTTTGGTGTTACTCTTGTCTTATAAATTTCCATTGCTTTGTCACCCTATGCAAAAAATACATAAAAATAATTAGTTGCAACATAATATTATGTACATGACAAATAAAATATCAAGAACAAAACTCACAATTTCTATGGCGCTCCTCCCACTAGCCATGCCAACCACGGCTCTCTCCAAGCTTCCCTTCCATAAAGTGCATGCTTTGTTGATAGTCTTCCACTGATCATAAACACCACCACCATCCCGCCTGCTACCATTGCAGTTTTCTTGAAACTTTGCAATGATTTTATCCCACAAAACCTTCTTATTTTTATTAGTGCCAACTGCATCATCTTCGCTAATAGAAACCCATGCCAAACATAGAGCAACATCTTCCTCACAAGTCCAATTACGACCTCTAATATGCTCTCTTGCCATGTTGAACAATTTGGAAATGGAAAGAAATGGTAGAAAGATAAATTGGAAGAATTGTAAGAGAAATTTGAGTTTTGTGTGGATGTTTGAACAAATACATAAGTATTTATAGAATTTTTGGGTGAATTTTGAGTTAAATAATTTTTTTTAATTATTTTAACCGTTAGATTTAAATTTGGGCCGTTAGATTTTATTATATTTGATCTCAGCCGTTGGATTCAATGTATTTTAAAATAACATATTTTAAAAAATCAAATTTGAATTTGAACCGTTGGATCAACCAACGGTCCTTGAAACACATCCGTTGGATTGCAAAAATAGCCGTTGGACTTCAGCTGGGTGGCCGACAACCCGCTAACAGCGGGGCCCACCCTGTCGGGCACGGTCTGCAAGCGCTCCGCGTGGGGCGCGTACGCGAGTGAGCGGGCCGAGACTGGCCTTTGGGCCAGGGAGTCCAGTCGCGCGGGGGGGGGGGGGAATCTGGGGGGAATTTGGCCCAACTTTAACATTTGGCATTTAGCCCAATGTTTTAGCATGGGTTGGAGATGGTTTGGGAGGGAAATTTGGGGGAAAATTTGGCATTTAGCGCATTGTTGGAGATGATCTTAGGATTTTCCGTTTGCGAAAAAATGGCGAGGAATTTAGGGGTTTTGGTGCGACAGGTGCTAGGCAATGGCGACAAGCCCTGCGCAGGTCTTCTTCTTCATCATCTTAAGCCTCCTTGGCATTCTATCCAAACCCTAAAAGCCCTAAAAACCCTAACTTCAATTCCAACCGCACCATCTTCACCACCCACAGCTCCTTCCACTCGGAAACCATTATACGATTTCCTGCACTCCACAGACCTTCAGTCTCTTCAGCACCGAGCCCTCACTTCACCCTCAGGTATTTTTTCCACTGCCAATTTTGGGTTTTTGAGATTGTATTTTATTAATGTTTGTGGCATTTTTTTTCTAGGTCCCTCGGACATTCAGATCAAGAAAAAACGAAAAAAAGGTCCTTCGAACATTGTCACCGTTAAGACTATGACCGGATATGGTCGGGCGATCAGCAATATCACAAGTAATAATTACTTAATTTCTTTTCAGAATGTTTTAGTTTTGGGAAGACATCTATTATTTCTTGTCGATCTTAATTTGTATTCATTCAATTGGATAATTTGTTTTTTTTTTTTATTGATTGAGACAGACAACAAAGCACCAGTAGTTTTCTTCTTCACTATAGCCAGCTCTGATGCTTGTAAGTCCCAAATTGTGTATTTAGGGTATGTTTGGAGTGAGGGATTTCCAAATTCCAGGTAAAGTGATGAAGAAATGGATCATAAAAGGTTTAATAAGAGGGATTGGAAATGCACCACATTAGAATTACAAAAGCATATGAGAGAGTTCCGCAAATGACTACTTGGAATGAGTCATTTAGAAAAAAAATTTACATACCTTTGCAATGCTCATATGGTGCATTTCTAATCGCTCATGTATAACATTTTGTGACCCATTTCTTGCTTTGCCTAAATACCTTGGAATATGAAAATCCCTCACCCCAAACAGACCCTACGAAACAAGTTATGTTTTCAACAAATGACTCCTTTTCGAGTTACTTGTTGCTTGGTGTATTGTGCAGGTAAGATCGTATCTCCAATCCTCAAAGATCTGAGTGAGCAATTCCCGCATGTAATAACATATAAGTTTGACGTTGTTCAGGTGCGGCTCTCTAACCTTATCTTCTTTAACTTGTACCGACGATCCTTTCTTGTAACCCACTCATTCCTGCGTTTATTGTGAACTGTTTTGACTTCCTTTGGTGGTGTTATGGGTTTTAAGGTTAATATATATAAATTCATGACTTACCACACTTGTACACTAAATTGTTTGATTCACGGGGTTTTTATGTTACGGTTGGTGATGGAGAAAGTAAAACATTGTTCTATTATTTTAAAAGCATGCAAACAAAATTTAGACTGTTTCTTTGTGCTCTGCACTGTAGGTTTGCTTCCTTTTTATGCGGTGGGTGATATCATGTTACCTCTCCAATCTTGCAATTTGTAGCTAGTCGTTACGTTGAAGAGGCGATGGTTTCCAAAACACCCCCCCTCCTTCCCCTCCTGCACGAGACTAGCCACCAATAAATACAACTACATTAGATCATCTCGATTAACAGTTAATGATCCTTAATAGGGCAAATGACAAGTCATCCAATGTAGTTACTGTTAAATAGTATGATAAAGCTAAATGTAATTAGTTCTGTTAGTTACTGTAATTAGTTAAGATAGTTGAGGGTATTCTTGTAACTAGCCTAAGGCAGCTAAGGCTATATATATTCACATCTGTGTAACTAATTTATTAATTCAATACAATCAGAAAACTTATAGAGGAAGTTTTCTGTTTCTATATGGTATCACGCCATTCTGCTTCCCAGCACCGACCTTCTCTTCCGCTCGACAAATTGATCGTTTCTTGATCGCTTCTCTCTGATTCTTTGCCTTTTTGTCTTCGATCTCTCTTGAATCTTGATCTCTTCAAGTTATGGCTGCTCAATTTGACTCGCCACCAACTGGATCGTCTTCTTCGATCATCTCTCCTTCGGTCCAAAACCCTAATTCTTCCTCTAATCCCAGTCCTTTGAACTCGTATACCTCCCTTACGATTCACAACATTGGCAGTATAGTGCCGATCAAGCTGAAACGATCCAACTATTTACCATGGCGAGCACTGTTTGCTCCCATTTTCCGCCGATACAAACTTCTTGGTATCATTGATGGCACTGAGATCTGTCCTTCGCCCTTCTTGCCTGATCGCTCGATGAACCCTGCCTTTGAGGATTGGTATGAAAAGGATCAAAATCTTTTGGTTTGGCTTAATTCTACCCTCTCCGAAGAAATCATTCCATTCACAGTTGGTGTTTCTTCTTCTCGTGAGCTCTGGGTAAAGCTTGAACAGCGCTTTGGTGGAGTTTCGGAGGCTCATATTCACCAATTGCGATCGCGGCTCCAATCAATTCAAAAAGGCTCTCAATCCATCTCTGATTATCTGCAACAAATCAAGGAAATTGCTGATTCCTTTCAAGCTGCTGGTGCCTCAATGTCCGATCGTGACCTAATTGCTGCTACACTTCATGGATTGCCTGATGAATTCGAATCTTCTACCTCCCTTGATGAGCTCCATGGTCTCTTACTCACCAAAAAGTTATCTATGGCTCGTCGCCGGCCTATTATTCCTTCTTCTGCTACTGAGCCTTTTCAAGCATTTTCTGTACACTCCAACCTCCCCTGCTTCCTACTCCATCTGCTTTTGCTGCTCAAAATCAACCCCTTCACTTTGCTTCTCGGTTTAACTCAAACCGTGGTAAGCCATCTCGAGGTAATTTCTCTTCCAATCGCAACAGTCGCAATTTTCATAATTCTCGTGGTACTTTCCCTACAAATCGTGGCAATCAAAATTATCAAGGATCTCGCCATTTTCAAGGTTCTTCCACCTTCAAAGTTCCTTGTCAGATTTGTGGTTCTACAAGTCATGAGGTAATTGACTGCTTTGATCGTATGAATCTGGACATCTGTGGTCGAATCCCTTCAGCCAAACTTGCTGATATGTGTGCGCATCATTCAGTCAAACCATCTCAGCCCTGGTTAATTGACTCTGGTGCCACTTCCCACATCACCAATGATGTAGCCAATATTTCTTCTCCTACTCCCTACACTAAAGAGGACAAAGTCTACATTGGCGATGGTAAAGGATTGTCTATTCATCATATTGGTTCATCATCTCTGCACACTCCCTATAATTCCTTTAAACTGAGCAATGTTTTACATGTTCCTTTCATGAAACACAATCTCCTGTTTGCTTATCAGTTTCTTAAGGATAATAGCTGCTCATTGACTCTTGACCCTTATGGATCCACTGTAAAGGATCGCATTTCGGGGAAGATGCTTTTGCACGGCCCTGTTAGGGATGGTTTCTTTCCTCTCCAAGGTTCCACCAGTCTCCATCAATCTCCCTCAGCTCTTCTTAGCATCAAAGCACCTGTCACACTATGGCACAAACGCCTTGGACATCCTTCCTCCTCCATTTTCAGAAGGGTTATATCTACTAATAATCTTGCACTACAAGGCAAGAAGAGTGTTGATTTTTTCTGCTCAGATTGTGCACTTGCTAAGAACCACAAGCTTCCTTTTGGAGTGGCTTCTTCATCAACAACTCAAAGTCTCCAACTTCTGCATTGTGATCTATGGGGACCTACCTCTGTTACATCTAATAGTGGTTTCAAGTATTACCTACTTTTTGTTGATGACTTTAGCAAATATAGTTGGTTTTTTCCATTAAAGTCCAAATCTGATGTATTTTCTACATTTGTTACTTTCAAAAGCTATGTAGAAAACTTCAGTGGCAATAAAATCAAGATTCTGCGCTCAGATTCAGAGGGTGAATTCACCAGTCACTCCCTTGCTTCTTTTCTTCGTGCACATGGTATATTACATCAATTTAGTTGTCCACATACTCCTGAACAAAATGGTTGTGCAGAGAGAAAGCATCGCCATCTTGTTGAGACAGCTCGAACATTACTTGTTGCCTTTCATGTTCCTCAAGTGTTTTGGGTTGAAGCCTTCTCCACTGCCATATATCTTATTAATAGGCTTCCTATTTCTGGTCTTACATAGTCTCCTTGGGAACTTCTCTTCAATCAACACCCAGATTATTCTAAACTGAAAGTTTTTGGCTGTCAATGTTATCCCTGACTTAAGCCTTACATTCCCAGCAAACTGGAAGCTAAAAGCAAAAGTTGTGTGTTTTTGGGATATAGTCTACAACATAAAGGCTATAGGTGTCTTGATCCCGTGACAAATAGGATCTACATATCTCGACATGTTGTTTTTGATGAACACTCTTATCCATTCAAGTCCCTGCTGAGTCACAGTTCCAATTCAGAGACTTCATCTCCAGCATATTCTCCATCCTTGGATCTTCACTTCCGCAAATATGTCTCAAGTTCTCCTACAACTAGTACCTCTTCAGAATCACCATGTCCTTCTGCACCTACTTCTATTCCTCAGATCTAGGCCTGGCAATTTCTGACACGACCCGATAACCCGACACGAAATTAACAAGTGTTTGGGTCGACACGATAACGAATCGGGTCGTTATCGGGGTAACCCGATAAGTACTTGTTAAGATAATGGGTTGGTTCGGGTATACACGTGGGTAACACGATACACGATAAGCAGAATATTATTTTTATAATTTTATAACCCTAAAAAAATACTATAATAATTATATACATTAATTTTACAATTTTATACCCCTAAAAATTATAATAAATATATATATATTTATATCTATATTAAATTAACTATAAAATTTATAATAATTATAATAATTATATATACTATAATAATTATACCCCCAAAATATTAAGTCTATCTATAATAATTATATATATATATATATTAAATTTTATAAAAACTATAATAATTATTAATTAATAATTTAATATGCATGATGCATTGCATGATTTTGCATCCATTGAAATTTGATGTGATTTCTTTCCATTCAAATTTCAATAATCAATTTCTTGCCATTGCCAACTTGCCGCCCTTTTTGAAAAAAAAAATGGAGGGAAAATGAAAATGTTAAGAAAAGTTGAAAATGAAACAAAAAAGTGAGGGAATTAGGGAAAGATGTTGGAGGGAAAAATGAAAATGATAAGAAAAAGTTGAAAAGGAAACAAAAAAAAGAGGGAAAAATGAAAATTAATAGAAGTGGTGAGAAATTTTTTTTTTTTTTTAAGTTATTAACTTTTTATCACACACATAACTGTCATGACATATCTCACTATTTTTATAATGACACACGTGACACGTGATGTATGTACTATTCCATGTACCAGTCAATTATAATTTATACGTACAAAATAAATAGATTTAAATCTACTTAATAAATATATACACACACACACACACACACACGAAACTTGATTGATGGCATACGAATTCTCCAAAACTAATTTCAACGATCCAAACCGTGAAAATTGTTTGTATATGCTTGGAGATCACATCAGCAAAAAATCACAAAAAAAAAACATTCAAAGATCAAGTAACGGGACAAAGCTTTTCAACGGTTATAAACGAAAAATCACGATTTAACGGTTATTTTAACTCCGATTTTGATGATTTTTTATAACTACACTCCTTGACCCTATATGAATACAATGAATGAATTCGATCTTCAATTTAAAATATTTACACAAGTGAATACTACAAAATCTTATGTTATACTTAATGAAAGTATAAATAAACTCTAAGTGTTAGTCAATCTATCGTTTTATCAATTCTCCAAAACTAATTTCAACGATCCAAACCGTCAAAATTGTTTGTATATGCTTGGAGATCACATCAGCAAAAAATCACAAAAAAAAAAAACATTCAGAGATCAAGTAACGGGACAAAGCTTTTCAACGGTTATAAACGAAAAATCACGATTTAACGGTTATTTTAACTCCGATTTTGATGATTTTTTATAACTACACTCCTTGACCCTATATGAATACAATGAATGAATTCGATCTTAAAATATTTACACAAGTGGATACCGCAAAATCTTATGTTATACTTAATGAAAGTATAAATAAACTCTAAGTGTTAGTCAATCTATCGTTTTAAGAATTCTCCAAAACTAATTTCAACGATCCAAACCGTCAAAATTGTTTGTATATGCTTGGAGATCACATCAACAAAAAATCACAAAAAAAAAACATTTAGAGATCAAGTAACGGGACAAAGCTTTTCAACGGTTATAAACGAAAAATCACGATTTAACGGTTATTTTAACTCCGATTTTGATGATTTTTTATAACTACACTTCTTGACCCTATATGAATACAATGAATGAATTCGATCTTCAATTTAAAATATTTACACAAGTGGATACCACAAAATCTTATGTTATACTTAATGAAAGTATAAATAAACTCTAAGTGTAGTGAATCTATCGTTTTACGAATTCTCCAAAACTAATTTCAACGATTCAAACCGTCAAAATTGTTTGTATATGCTTGGAGATCACATCAGCAAAAAATCACAAAAAAAAAACATTCAAAGATCAAGTAACGGGACAAAGCTTTTCGACGGTTGTAAACGAAAAATCAAGATTTAACGGTTATTTTAACTCTGATTTTGATGAATTTTTACAGCTACACTCCTTAACCCTATATGAATACAAAGAATGAATTTGATCTTCAATTTAAAATATTTACACAAGTGGATGTGGATATCACAAAATCTTATGTTATAATTTATATACTTAATAAAAGTATGAATCAACTATAATATTAATAATTATATACATTAATTTAATAATTTTATATCCCTAAAAAGTAAAAACTATAATAATTATATAGATGTAGGTGTAAATTGAATACAATTTCATTATGATCGATGTAAATTGAAGATTTTGTAAATGGAGGTGTAAACTTTTGAGAAAGACTTACAATCTTAAAAACGAAAACTCTTTATCCTTGCACATTTAATATTTGTAATATATTAGTAGTGTATGTATTATTTTTTTTATTAGGCTTTTATTTTCGAGTGTAGATATAGTACTTGAACGAGAAATGTTTTAATGTTTTGAAGTAATATTTATGTGGCAATGTGTGGTATGTGCAAATTTAAAAAAAAAAAAAAAAATTCTTAACGGGTCATAATGGGTCATAACGGGTCGGGTCACTTTACCCGCTGGGTAAAGTGACACGACCTGTTAAGGACCCGTTAAGATAACGGGTGTGACACGACACGACCCGTTAAGATAACAGGTGTTATACGAAAACGACACGAACACGATAGACACGACCCGTTTGCCAAGCCTACTCAGATCTCACCTCCACCTGAAGTTCCTTCATGCACTCAGTCAGTGGATCATTCTTCCAGTTCTCCCAGTTCTTCCAGTTCTGTCTCTCTCAGTAATTCTTCTCTTGTGCCTATTCAGCCAAGTCATCCACCAATTTTTGAGAATACACATCCTATGATTACAAGATCTAAGGCTGGAATATACAAGTCTCGAGCTTATTCAGCAACCAAACATCCACTTCCTGTTGATCTTGACTTTGTTCCTAGTACTTATTTGCAAGCATCAAAGCATGCTCACTGGAGAGCTGCCATGCAAGCTGAATATAATGCTTTAATCTCCAGAGGAACTTGGTCTCTTGTTCCTCCTCATCCTTCTCAGAATGTAGTTGGTTGTAAATGGGTTTTCCGGGTCAAGAAAAATCCTGATGGCAGTCTTGACAAACACAAAGCCCGCTTGGTGGTAAAGGGATTTCATCAGCAAGAAGGAGTTGACTTTCAAGAAACCTTCAGTCCTGTTGCTAAACCCGTTACAATTTGAATTCTTTTTACACTTGATGTCCAATATAATTGGTTCTTGAATCAATTAGACATTAGCAATGCCTTTCTTCATGGCGACTTAAAGGAGGATGTTTACATGCAACAGCCCCCAGGTTTTATTGATTCCAACTCTTCCCATTTTGTTTGCAAGCTGAAGAAATCTTTATATGGTCGTAAACAAGCTCCTCGAGCTTGGTTTGATAAATTGTTTCACGCCCTTCATACCCTTGGGTTTCACCAATCCCAATCTGATGCTTCTTTGTTTGTCCTTCATGGACCTCAGTTAGTCATTGTTCTTGTTTATGTGGATGATATTCTAGTCACTGGCCCCAATTCTCAACTCTGTCAACAGTTTATCCAGCAACTTAGCACTCAGTTTCCAGTGAAAGATCTTGGTCATTTACACTATTTCTTGGAATTGGAAGTTCACAGATCTCCCAATGGCCTCTTTCTTCATCAGACCAAGTACTTACTTGATCTCCTCAAGAAAACAAATATGGAAGGTGCCAAACCTTGTTGCACTCCTCTCGGGTCTCAGAAGCTGGACCACAGTGGGCCTCTCTTATCCAATCTCACTGAATATCGTTCCATAGTTGGTGAATTACAATATCTCACTTGGACTCGACCGGATCTTGCATTTGCTGTTAATCAGATATGTCAGTTTATGCATGCTCCAAGAGAACAACACCTTCAAGCAGCAAAAAGGGTTCTCAGATTTCTTAAAGGTTCTCTTTCTCATGGTTTATGGTTTACTAAAGGTCCCATCGCTGTTTCAGCTTACTCTGATGCTGATTAGGCTGGCTGCACATTTGACAGGCGGTCCACCAGTGGATATTGTGTTTTTCTTGGCTCTAATCTCATCAGCTGGAGTGCAAAGAAACAAAGCACTGTTGCTCGTTCCTCTACAGAAGCTGAATATCGTTCTTTAGCTCATACTGCAGCAGAACTCACTTGGGTTTGCAAAATTCTCAAAGATCTTCATTTCCCTCGTCCTACTCTACCTACCCTATGGTGTGATAATATCTCTGCAATCTCTTTAGCCTCTAATCCTATTTTTCATGCTCGAACCAAGCATGTTGAGATTGACTATCACTATATCCGGGAGTTGGTTCTTGCAAATCTCATCAAAGTTCAATATGTTTGTAGTGAAGACCAATTGGCTGATCTTCACACCAAATCTTTGTCTAAGAGCAGGTTCTCTTTTCTCTGTTCCAAGCTTCCAATTGGAATCCTCACTGATTCCTCCTTTAGCTTGAGGGGGTGTAATAGGGCAAATGACAAGTCATCCAATGTAGTTACTGTTAAATAGTATGATAAAGCTAAATGTAATTAGTTCTGTTAGTTACTGTAATTAGTTAAGATAGTTGAGGGTATTCTTGTAACTAGCCTAAGGCAGCTAAGGCTATATATATTCACATATGTGTAACTGATTTATTAATTCAATAGAGTCAGAAAACTTACAGAGGAAGTTTTCTGTTTCTATAATCCTAATAAGAATCAAGCATTCATCTTAGAGGTGCTTAGTGCAACCAGGGTATAGTGTTATTCTGTAAAAAAAATTTTACCGTAGACTTTTGCCTATTCCTTTTGTCTTTATGATTCCATGTAATACTTCTTGAACTGTGCAAAGACTCATGAATCCTGACCAACAAACCTAGACCTTCATTTGTTTGATAGGCAGGATGGCCTGTTTGTTTGTGTTATTTTTTCGGGTGAATTACTTGTCTGAGTTATTTGTTCTGGGTAATAGATGCTGTACCTGATAGCTTAAGTGTGCTGTACCTGATAGCTTAAGTGTATCTTATAGCTATCCGTTAATTTCTTGCAAACATAGTTATATTTTCCATACTCTGATCATCGTCCAATATGAAGCTGCATATAGAAGTGATGATATTATTTTATGTTATGCTTGGAAAAGAGTAGTTATAACAGTATTTATTCAATCTGTAGGGGAAGACTGACTTTGCAGTAATTATGTACGGTTGGCGTGCTATGGTAAGTGCTTTGAGCATGCTATTTTTCGTTCCATGTACATGTCCATGCTTTCAGGGATGTAATTGTAGATTTTAATCCCCGTTAGTTGATCTTGTTTATCAATAGTTTCCAATGTTATGCAAACTTATAAGACGATGCTATGTGAATATATGAACGATAAAGTAAACATGCCATACACAAAGTCAAAGAATTTAGCGAGGTTGGGCGAACTTTGTCTACTCCTCGTGTGATCTCCCTTTCAAATATCATGAGAATAGCAACTTGATGATAAGAACTTATTGAAACCTTGTGCTAAACCCCTAAACCTTGCTTCAGATCTCTCCATCACTCTTGGCGCTCTACTCTTGTATTCTCTTTGTTGTTCGTGTGAATAAACAGCCCTCAACAAGCCTGTTTATAGTACATAGACAGATGGTTACATGCCTTACAAGTATAGGATTCCTAACCTGTGCACCTTCCTTTTCTCCTACCCCAACACAAATAGGAAACCTAAACATGTTTGGCCTTGAGATGTATTGTTTCCATATCCTAATCAATAGTTTATAAATGCTGAATAAGTTATACTAGCACAGAAATTGTGTGTGCATATAGTTTAGGGTTAATTCAATCTAGTAACTTGAACTTTCACCCTTAAAAGTACGGGGAGTAACATGCCTTAAAAGAGAAAGTTCATGGTACTAACCTGAAATTAACCCCTTGTCTGAAGCAAAACATTTGCTTTGCTTGTGTGTGTATTTTTCTGCAGCCAACATTTTCTTTCTTTCAAAATGGGGTATGTGTATCTCGGATTATTGGTGCTGATGTGGCCGGATTGAAAAGTACTTTTGAGAAACTCTACGGGTAAAGTCTCTTCTAGGTTACGTAATGTATATTTGCATGATTGTGTTTTAATTTTGATCAATTACTTCTTTTTCTCTTTTTCTTATTTATGATACGTTTTGTAGCTATTCGCATGACCCAATTTTCTTATATTTAATTTCTCTCATTTGGCCTACTTTACATTTGAAGTCCGGAGGGATCTGAAAAAGTTGACAAGGAGGTTAGCAAATGTAAGAAGAAGGGCAGAGGAGTTGTTGCGGAAGGTGGCAAAGTGGGTGTTGCTGTGAAGTCGTCACAGCAAAGTGATTGATTTGTTTAGGAAGAAATCGAGTGTACTGTTTTATTATCTGGACTAGTGTGCTGTTTGGAATTCGAAATCCTCACGTATGTATGTCTATGTATGAAAATAGTTTAATGAATGGGTTGTGGTTGGACCGGCCACTTAATAAAATACTAGCCTGTCCGCACGGGTTAGAGGCGTTTTTTCATCCAGGCACATAGCGTCCCTAAAAATATGTTGCTTTATTTGTTTTCTTATTTCTCAAGTGTTATTTTATAAATTTGTGCATGTGAGGGCCTTTACGAAGGTTTTGATCACGGCAGGTTTCACCTTCCTCGTCAGTTTCTCAACTGATTAGCCCAAAGCCTGTTATTAAACATCCAACCCAATTGATTAGAATTCTAAGCAATTGGGTTTTGTATTTTTCTATGAAGACGATGATGACTGGGTACTGGACAACATGGCAATAAAAGCGACAGCAGAGTCGGAGGAGAGAAGAGAAGATGTAGAGGAATGAATGCTTGGAAGGCCGGAGACTTTTGGCGGTGAGGTTAGCGGAGAAGGATGAGTTCTGGTACACTGAGAACTTGGAGCCCTTCGGAAGAGGCGACCCTCTGTCTCTGGAAACCATGGCTGGTGGTAGACCTGTAAACAAGTCGGATTTATTGGATTAGGATCATATTTCACAACCCGACATGTTAAGTTAACGGGTCATCCGAACCTAACCCGATAAACTAATCGGTCACTCGTTTCACCGGTTAAAACGCATTTACAATTTCTTTTTATTTTGTTTAATTTTGCATTCCAGCACAAATTACACATTTTTTAATCAAAATTTTAAGCATGGAAGTCCCAACACATTTGGAAGTACCAAATGGAAAGTTGACAAAGTCTTCCAATTGGCAATAGTTGTATGATAAAACAACGTACAAAACCTTTCAACCGAAAGAAAAGAAACCATAAAACCTCGGAATCAAGTTACAACCCAAGGCTAATCAACCCATTTAAAATACCCACATAGTTTGATTTCAGCAAACCAAGAACATAATTGAATAAAAAGAAAGAAAAAGCACAAAATGAGTTTCAAGAGATTAAGTGAGATTTGAAGTGCGTTTCAAGGGACAAACCAGTAATTAAGCCATCACCCAAATAACATACATAAATACATACAAAAGTCATCATTCGAATTCCAAACACCACGCAAGTTTAGATAATAAAATAGTGCTGTAAGTGGATCCAAGTTAACACGATTTAGCCTCTGACTAAAGCACAATTAAACCATATTAGCTCTGATATTAAAGCTAGACCTCATGCCTAGTATTCTCGATTTCCTAAACAAGACCATCACTCTGTCGTGACGATTTCACATTTCCTAACTTGATAGTCAAGTTCTGGAGTTGTTCTCTCTTTCCCATGTGAAGATTTTCGGATGACATGGCCTCACCCAAATCACCATCTTGCGATCCCTCCAGACTTCAAATGGAAAGTAAGCCAGTTGAGACAATATAATACATCATATATATATATATATATATATATATATGTATATATAAGCAGGGTTACGCAAATAGTTATGAAACGTATCATAAACAAGAGATAGAGAGAAAAAAACACAAAAGGCATGCACATATACATTACGTAACCTAGAAGAGACTTTACCTGTAGAGTTTTTCAAAAGTATTTTTCAATCCGGCCACATCAGCACCAATAATCCGAGACTCCCTTCCACCATCTTTATAGAAAAAAAATGTGGGCTGCAGAAAAATGAACACATAAGTGCACAACTTTCTAGTTTCAGATAAACATAGACATAAAATGTACGTTAATTTCAGTTTAGTACCATGAACTTTCCCTCTTAAGGCATGTTAATCCCCGCACTTTCCAAGTTTAAATGATGACATGGCACACACTGTCTCATGCTTGGGTGGGATAGAGACAGAGAGAGAGGGAGGGAGAGCGAGTAGTAGGTTGGGTCGGGAAGGTGGTGGCTGAAAGAAGAAAGGGAAGGATGGAAGACTAACATGGCATCAAATCATTTTCCACTGAAACATATAAGCGGCCCGTGTGTGCAACCTAAATAACTTGAAGGTATGGGGACTAAAGTGCCTTAAGGGTGAAAGTTCTGGGTACTAGATTGAAATTGACCCTCAAAGCACAAACATTCTGATCACTCCTCCCGCTCCCCAAAAAAATAAGACAATCATGTGCTAAGTATAACTTATTCAGCTTTTATAAACCATTGATTAGGATCTGGAAACAATACAATCCAATTTTCTGAATTGCGGTCTAAACAAAAAGATTGAACACATGCAATAAGATAACTGAAGCTAAGCATGGGCATGTACACGGAAACAAAATAACATGATCAAAGCACTTACCAAAGCAGGGACAACGTACAAAGACAATGCTTCGGCAATTTTTCCCTATAGATAGAATAATCACTATTATGACTACTAATTTCCAGGAATAACAAAATAGTATCATCACTTCTATACGCAGCTGCATATTGAACAATCATCAGAGTAAGGAAAAATATGACAAGTTTGCAAGAAATTAAGGGATGGCTACAATAATACACTTGATTTATCAGGTGCAGAATCTATTACCCAGAACAAATAGCTCAGGCAATCAATTCACCGAAAAAAGAGACAAGCAGAAAAGCACCCTGGATGCCTATCCAACAAATTACAATGAAGATATAGGTTTGTTGATCATGATCCATCAGCCTCTGGAAAGCTCAGTTTAAGAAGTATTAATCTTAAAACCATAACACCAGTTCCCAAGGGAGTCAAAAAGTTTACAAAAACAGGAACGAACGAGTTACAAGGAAAGGATCTCAACCCACGAAAGGGTTCAAACCCTCCCCCAAACCCGATTAGTGTTAGTGCAGAATAACGCTTGTAAAGACAAAAAGGTTAGAAGAAGACAAGGTTACAGAGCCGCACCCCGAAAATATCAAACTTATATATTGTTACATGTGGGAATTGCTCACTCAGGTCTTGAAGGACTGGAGTTATGAGTGGGCCTGCACAAGATGAGTACAGCAAGAAGTAACTCGAAAAGGAGTCATTTGTTGAAAAAACAACTTGTTTCATAAAAGTACACAATTTGGAACTTACAAGCATCAGAGCAGGCTGTAGTGAAGAAGAAAACTACTGGCGCTTTTTTGCCTATCTCAGCCAATAAAAAAATAAAAAAGTATGATTTATCACAATTGAACGAAATACAGATTAAGATCGACAAGAAATTATAGATGTCTTGTAAAAAATAAAGACAATTCTGAAAAGAAATTAAGGAATCATTACTTCGAACTTTGCACAGCGCCGGATAATACTGGTTCCTAGTCTTCACGGTAACAATGTTCGAGGGACGTTTTTTTCGTTTTTTCTTGATCTGAATGTCCGAGGGACCTGGAAAAAAAATGTCAAAAAAATTAAAATAAAATGCAATCTCAAAAACCCAAAATTGTTAGTGGGAAAAATACCTGAGGGTGAAGTGAGAGTTCGGTGCTGAAGAAACTGAAGGTTTGTGGAGTGCGGGGAATCGTATAATGGTTTGGGAGTGGAAGGAGCTGTGGGCGGTAAAGATGGTGCGGTTGGAATTAAAGTTAGGGTTTTTAGGGATATTAGGGTTTGGATAGAATGACAAGGAAGCTTAAGATGATGAAGAAGAAGACCTGCGCAGGGCTTGTCGCCATTGCCTCGCACCTGTCGCACCAAAACACCTAAATTCCTCGCCATTTCTTGTGTTCGAAAACGGAAAATCCAACAGGAGGGTATATGGATTGTTATACAAACTCATTTTTAAATACACACATTTTGACGAGTTACTCACTCGTGTTCTACCGATTCAACGGTTTATCCTTAACGTGTCTTCAAAGTTACATACATCAAAATACCTCTATATCGCGGTCTATTAGTATTTTTATTCATTTGTTCAACACAAAATCCTGTAGCCCAAAATTATATAATTGTTGGACTAAATAATAGTTGTTATCATTAACTGCATTCTCTTCTTCTTCTTCTTTTTTTCACTATAAATCTGTTCATGATTGTAAATTGTCTATTTATTTAAAAATAAGAAATTGTTACTAGCACTTCAAAAATCTCATTTGTTAATCCAAATTTTTTATAATTAGAAAGAAAAATAAATACGGTAAGAAGTGTAAAATAAGATTTTTGAAATGCTAATAATAGTTCCCTTAAAAATAATATATGAAATATAAATTAAAATGTAGACAATTGAGTTTTTGAAAAAAAATTACAAAATGATGTTTATCATGAAAATATTTACCCCCCAATCCTAACCTTACATGTACGACTGTCAATATACGCACACAATGGTTTTCACACACTCATTTAATTTTGAATTGTTAAATTAAATAAATCAAATAAAAATAACGGAGAAATTTTTGATAAGGTGTGTGAATTGCTTTTCAACATGAGGTTTTGGGTTCCAACTGACATTTACAACATCTTTCTTTAAACGAAATGAGTTGGTCGTGGACCTGAAAAAGTAGACCACCGATTACCAAAAATGTTAACCGACAAGTAGCCTGAAAATTTATCAGGGAAACGGAATATTTAATCGGTCGGTTGCAAAAAAGAAAAACTATAATTTATAGTAGAAACTAGGTACAAGGATCAATCAGGTAGATAAAAAAAGAAAAACGAAAAAAAGGAGAGTACACCTTATTTATTTTTAGCCATCAGATGGAGGGAAATAAAAAACAACAAACAAGATTAAATAGTCATTCCTCGAAAAAAAAATAGCCGGTGATTAAGTTGACATCACTTCTATTTTTGAAATTAGGGGCTAATATTTAGCTACATTTGATAAATACTCCTCGTACACTTTCATAATGTAAAATAACATAATATTTAAGGCTCATAATGTAAATGCGTCCTACGCATTTCGCACAAATTTTAGAATCAAGTCATGTAAGTTAGAACAGGGTCTACCGAGGTGAAGACTCAAGTGCCTAGCATCACTCCAGGAAATAGATGTTGCCACTTGCCGTACTCCTGCTCTCAACCACCTCAACAACGCCATGACTCCGTCACCTAGTTTGCAGCACCTCCCCCCACATTTACCCCGCCCGCAACAATTCCTTGCCTTTCTTATCTTTATCATCCAAATCACCGCTATCATGACTTTCAGTAACAAGTAAACCATGTGAGACAATGCAAATAACACGGTTTAGTAAATATGTTCAATAATAATACATCGCAGATACTGTTCTCTCCCCCCACAATGTTCCAAAACACGAGATGCTTATGTTCCCAGATACTATCTGTATCATTGCATCCCATGAGAAGAACAATACATAAATGATCCACATAAATTCCCTAGGGTGTCTCTATTGGCACACTACTAATCAATTAGTCCCACCCAATCAAAGATATTAATCATTGACAAATCTGGAACAGTAGCACTGCCTCCCTCAACCCGTCTGCACCAATTTTACCCTCCTCTACTCTCCCATCCTCATCTCTCCTCTCTCACACTACTACCTTCCCTCTCCCTGCAACAAGCAAATCAACACAAATCAAGAATGCCACCCCCTTCCTCCCACACCAAGATCATCTCAGACCACCACCAGATCCGGTGGGTACTTCCGTTTGGTCTTGGTGTTGTCGACCGCGGGGTTGGTGGACTGGCAGATGGGTTGATGGAGGCACTCTAAAGCGTTTCAGATTCCTCTTTTTATTTTCCAATAATTTTGATTTTAAAGTTGAGGGCAAATTAGGAAGTTTAACTAGATCAAAATTTTTGTTAGGTCAATTTACTTAAAAGTCGGGCAGTAAAGGCACCCTCAAATTATCATCTTATAAGAGAACTTGACTTGAGCCATCCGATAGGCACCGAAATATGAGAAATCACAAAAGAGGTAAAAAGAAAATGAAAAGTAACCTAGAAAATAATTACCTATAGTATTTTGTAAATCTGTCTTTCAGCTGTGCGACTTCAGCACCAATAATTTCACATACCTTCTTCCCATTTTGGAAGAAAATAAACGTTGGCTGTAGGGGAAAAAATGCATATGTTAGCAAAGTAATTTTTGACTTTCAGATGAAATAAGAGTAAAATATACACATTCAGCTTGAAGAAACTGCTAGCGCTGTCCCACTCAAGCACCTATACCTAGGATTCTAGCCTAACTATGTTGAAGAAACCAAACATAAAATTCATGAGGAATCAAATCAATTACCAAATAGCGGACATTGAACTTGCGTACTGGGCTATCAACTTCCTATATGAAGAAACACAATGTTAGCTCTACTAATTCGAGACATACAAGTAATAATATTATCAGATATAATTAGAATACAGGAAAAAAAAATTACTAAATTAGCAAGTAATTAATGCATAGCTAATGAAATACGTTTGTCTTATGCTTACTCTAAAACATAAACTTAATTTCTTCACAGCATATCATATGTTGTTAACTTCTATTGCAACTGAATTTGAGAGAGATACTAGTGTTTCTCTACTTATAGTGACCAGCCTTGGGGCAGCTCTCTTCAACCTCTAATCATTAGATGCAAGGTTTTGATTTCAAAAAGTTTACGATGAAACAAAAAATGGTTCCAAAGAAAAGGAGAAGAAAGAAAGATTTTACATTTTATGAAACAAAGATTAAAATGACACACCTTCAGCCCAATCTTATTAACCGTTACATGTGGGAATCGTTCGCTCAACTCTCGAACGCTTGGAGCTATCCTTGCACCTGCACATGAAGAGTACCCCAAGAGTAAGTTGAAAAGGAGCAGTTCACTACAAACAATATAAAATTTAAATGTTTCCAACTTACAAGAATCATCGTAGGCTGTACTGAAGAAAAATACTGCTGGCAGAGATTCAACTATCTCAATGGAATAAAAGAAACAAAATTAAAAACTACATTGAACTGTAAGTTTTCATGAAAGAAACACTTTTCTTTATAAAAAAAGAACACTATATATAAAAATAATTAATAATTATTACCTTTAACTTTGCGAAGTAACTTATGAAATTGAGCATTTGATTTGATGAGAGCAATCCTTGAAGAATCTGACAATTCAAAATAGTGAAAGTGGCAATGTGAACTACAAAAGAAATCAACAGAGAGAGAGAGAGAGAGAGAGAGAGAGAGAGAGAGAGAGAGAGAGAGAGAGAGAGAGAGAGAGAGAGAGAGAGAGAGGGATTAAAGTTTTAAAAGGTAAAGCATTTTTGGTCACCCAAGGCAAGGTTTCAAGGAGGGGTGAGCCTAACAATGGATTAAAAAGAAGCACTTATTGATTTCAAGCTTAAGAGTCAATCCTAAAACATATATTCAAATAGTCATGATATAGTGAGGTTGGAGATGCAGTGAACAGGAGGTGGAAATAGGGAGACAGGTTCAAGTTTGTTGAGCAGAGAAAGAGGTTTAGAAAATTTGGTTTGGGGTTGGGTTCTATCGGTGGGAGGATAAGCTTCTGGGATCTAAATGACTAAATCATAAACAGTGGCATCTTTGAAAAAACATCAGCCTTTTCATTACATCAAAAGGAACCAAGAGCACTCAACATAACAGTGGTATTTTGTCTTATAACTTTCAAAACATATTGACCACAGGGCTGGTCTTGTTTGCAGGGCCTCAGCCTCCACTAACGCCGATGCAGTGCATTATGCACAAATTGCATATGGTAAACATCAATCCGGAAACAAACCTAAGGTGTTTTCAGACACCTCACTCGATGCTGCACAAACTTTTTTCCACAACACAGAAGAAGTACCTGCAGCAACTTCTTTACCTTTATCATCTTTCCTAGCTCGAGTTGCTGCCCTTTTGCTTCTTCCAGATGAACATTTCATATCTCGAGCAGCCCCACCATCTTGAGATTCCTCCTGACTTTCATTTAGTACAACAGAAAAAAAATTATTCAAATAACGGGGTATTTAGTTATACAATGCACCAAATACCATAAAGAAATAAAAGAAATAAAAGAGCGACATAAAAAATCTCTTCTGGAGAGAACTTGATTCAAGCTAACCACAACCCCCAAGGCACCAACATATAACTGCATTAATACATACATTAAAGCATAATGATGTAAAGTAACCTAGAATTATTTTTACCTGTAGAGCTTTCCAAATGTCTCTTTCAGCCGTGCAATATCAACTCCGACAATCTCAGCTACCTTCACTCCTTTTCGAAGGAAAAAGAAGATTGGCTGCAATGAAACATATCCACTCAGCAAGAACAAATAGCTTAACACTTTCCCCATGGAAAATTATAGCTTGTTTGGAACTCCTAACCTAGTAGATCAGTGGAGCTAACATGGAGATTTAAGGATCAAATGGTTTACCACAGCGCTGACATCAAATGGGCCCAATGTGCTTTGCCCTTCCTATAGACAGATGACACAATGTTAGATCTTCTAATACTGGGGCATAACAAGAAACTGATACCCTAATTCTCTTGAAAACAACTCCATGCCCAATATAATTAGAAGAATGAAAAAAAAATAAAAGGGAGCTAGGCTTTCACAGGTGGCCAAACCCACACCGATACAATAAAGCAAGGTGACGTAAAAAGATGGGATTCAAAACTTGCTCTTAAATAATAAAAATAAAAAGAAAAAAACATCAGATTGCAATGACAAACCTCTGTAAACATCTTATATATTCTAACATGTGGGAATTGCTCACCCAGCCCTATGAGGATTGGAATTACAAAATTGTTGGCTGCACAAGGAGAGTCAGCCCAAAATAAGTAGAAAAATGAGCAGTTTATTGCAAATGACGTGACGATTGATGAAGAAAATAAAAACTTACCCTCGGACTTGTCATTTGTAGTGAAGTAGAAAACTGCTGACAAAGATCCCTCTGTATATCGCAAAAACCAAACAAACAAACAAAGCAATTAACTTGACATCTATATATCAAAGCTAAACAAAATTATTATTACTAAAAATTTTATGGTGGAAAAAGCTAAACAATTTCAAAAGGAAACAGAAATTAACTATTACCATCGACAGTATTAAGTTGAAAATAAAAATCATCGTACATATCGAGGAGGATAACGTTTGAGGGGCCTGAAAAATGAACAAACAGGGATGCAGATCCAGTCAGTGGTAACACGAGAGAGAGAGCGAGAGAGAGAGAGAGAGAGAGAGAGTGTGTGTGTGTGTGTGTGTGTGGAAGACTTGTATGGCACTGACTGCGAAAAGAGGGTTTACCTGAGGATGAGGAGGACGAGAAGAGACGTCGCTGTTGCCGAAAAATCTCAAGGCTTAGGGAGTGAATGGAAGTGGAAAGAAATGTGTGCGGTGAAGAAGATGGTGTGGTTGGAATTGACGTTAGGTTAAGGGTTAGTGTTTTGAACGCTTGCCTTTGGATCGAATTAGAGGAGAGTAGCATAAGATGATGATGAACAAGACCTGCACAGTGCTTGCTGCGGCCATAGCCAAGCAACTCTCGGACCAGAAACCCTGAATTCCCCGGTATTTTCATTCCCTTGTCCGCTACGTGCTTGTTTAGGAGTCGCTTTGTTTTGCTACCTCAATAAAAGTCTTCTCTTCGCTTAGGTATCGTTTGGTATGCTGACGGGACTGAACGGAAAGAGACTGGACGGGATGGGACAAGACAGAACGAAACGAAGCAGGAGCAAAGATGTCCTCGGATGGAAACAACGAGGAAGAAGAAGGAGACGGAGAGGTTATAATTTTGTGTTCCACGGATGTGGAACGAGTCGTTCCCGGGGGTGAGGTGCAACAAAAATTCACCCAAAACTCGTCTCGTGGAACAGCTCGTTCCATCCGTTTTAGACACACCAAACGTGAGACGGAACGTCTTGTCTCACTCTATTCCGTTCCGTCTCACGTACCAAACGGTACTTTAATTACACTATGGCCGTCATTTGGGAAGTATTTTTATATAGGGTCATTTTATATATAAAATCAATCAAATGTTATGATATTGATAATATATCAATTAAAATTATTTCAATTATAAATAGGTTAATGAGATTTTAAGCTACATTAAAATACCTTAATTAAATAAAAATTACAATTTATGCTATTGTCATTTAAAATACCCAACTTCTCTATCTCCCTCATTGTAAACTGCGCAAAACACTCTCAACTTCAATCTCCATCACCTTGCTATCATAAAACGCTCTCAAACTTCAACCTCCATCACTCCCACCACCTTTAACTCCATTTTCGGCCTCACAACACTTGCCTTGTCAACTTTGTGCCGCTTCGAACGATTTCATACTTTTGCCCTAATTCCGACGAATGATTCGTACTTGCGCCTGAGAAATCACGATCAAGTTTTTTTTTTTTTATTTATTCCTATTTTCTTCATCTTTTTTGGTTTTGAATTTGAGCTTGTTTGAATGTTAAAATTGGTTTGGGCATATCACAAATTTAGTTTGTTTTAATGTATTTGATGGCTCTATATATGTTTATTCATAGTGGTTATGTCGTTTTGTCTAATCGCAACTCCAAGTGCTCTTTTTCTTAGGTTATGTGCTCCATTTAAAATTCTAAGTTTTGTGGATTCAGACACTGCAACATAGTGTCTGTTTCCTATTCAACGATTGTACATTAATATTCAAATAGTTTTGTGAATTCAAACACTGTGTTGCAGTGTCTATTTTCTATTCTGTGATTGTACATTGATGTTCAAAAGTTTTTTATTCAGACACTTCGTTGCAGTGTCTGTCTCATGTTTTGTGGTTATGCATTGATATTCAAATAGTTTCCTTGGATTCAGACACTACGTTACAATATTTGTTTCTTGTTCTGCGATTGTACTTTGATATTCAAAAGTTTATGTGATTCTGACATTGTGTTGCAATGTTTGTTTCCTATTATGTGGATTCATACATTGAAACGCAGGGTCTATTTCATGTTATGTGAATGTGCATTGATATGCAAATAGTTTATGTGGATTCAGACATTGTGTTGTAGTGTCTGTCTCATGTTTTGTGGTTGTGCATTGATATTCAAATAGTTTCCATGGATTCAGATACAACGTTGCAGTGTTTGTTTCCTATTATGTGGATTTAGACACTGTGTTTGCAGTGTATGTTTCCTGTCATGTGATTGTACTTCGATATTCGAAAGTTTATTTCAACACTGTGTTGCAGTATCTGTTTCATGTTCTATGGATTCAAACACTTTGGTGTAGTGTTAGAGAGAGAGAGAGAGAGAGAGAGAGAGAGAAGATCGTGAAGTCGTGAAGATGAGATAGTTAAGGGCTGATTCGACATAACGTGTTTTAAAATATAAAGAAAGGTAAGAAAAAATGGATAGAAAGATCAAAATTCCAAGTATATATACTCACTTAAAGCCTATCTGACATTCATCATTGACTTATATATCATCTATTAGTTCAAAACAAAAATATGTCATTGATATATGTTTAAATAGTAAAGTTTTTATTGATTTTGGGCCAAATTACCTTTTTATATAACTGAATTTTTTTTTTAAATAATTTTAAAACTAATTCATAGTAAAAATACAAGTTAATCTTGAAAGAGTATTTGGAGAAAGCACTTTTAAGTGATTTTTTTTTAGAACTCGAATATATTATCTCTAACGGTGCTTTTAGCCATCAAAAAACACTTCTCAAATGAGCTCTAACATTAATCAATTTTGTCGTATTCCCAAAAAAAGCCCCTCCTATATGAAATATTATACTAACCAATCCTAGGGGTGGGCAAACGGGTTTAGGACCCGCGGGGTAGGACGGGTCTAGTCTATTCGGGTGGGGTCATGTAACCACTGATGTTGGATACGAGCCTACATCGTGGTGCCGGCTTGATTTTCCTAACAATTGGATCTTTACCAATCATAATCTGCTTGAGTTAGCGCTACATCTTCCTCAATCGAGTATTTTATGCCCTTTTGTGATTCTTAAGCCATTAGTGAAAAAAAAATGAAAGCAAATAAATAAATAAATAAAAATGTTGCAAATAACAAGCTTGGCAAATGAAACAAAAAAATTGAGAAGTTTGTGAATGATATAAATATTTGAAGAAAAACTATGGAGTATTTATAGCAAATATGTGAAGATAAAAAGAAGAACAAGAAAAAAAAAGTCCAACCATCGAAAATAAGGGAGCCGTTGAAAAAAAATAAAATAAACGGCAACAAAATAATCGTTGAAACCATGCACTTGAAATTAGAAATGGGCCCAACCCACGCTGACGGAGTACCTTCCCCCACACCAGGGTGGACTTCAGATGGCTTCAACAGAAAGTTGAGAGTCAAGATTTTCCCTCGCGTGATTGAAAGCATTAAATGTCAGTGAAATTTTTGCTCAAGTTCATGGCAAGAAGAATTAAAAAAATTACAAAAATATCATTTTAGAAATGATGACATTATTTGATCCATGAATTTGACATGCATGTTTTGGTGTTCCGAAATATTAAAATGACTAAATGTTCTTGGTCAATCACTTGTTTTCAGCGATGTGTTGAAATGACAGTTGCCTCAAATCAGGTATGAAATCAGTACTCTTGAGTATACTATCTAGCAGGCAAAATTTATCCGTCGTGGACCACTTTCGTCAAAACACCGACAAATCCACCCACAAAAAAGGAAAAACACTTCGCTGCAAACAAAAGAGGTATACGATGGATGTTGAGAGGTGTTTAGGTACCTTCTGAACTCGTTGGACAATCATTACAGAGGTTGCTCGACTTGGGGATGATGGGGCGCTTCAAAGCATCGCAAAGATGTGCATCATCCTGCATAACGTGATTGTGGGAAGTATGATTATGACAACCAAGAAGCCTTGGGCAATTGTTCACAGACTAAAATTTATCAAGTTTATGAACATGCTCAGCACGATTAATTAGATAGGATTGATGTTACCAAGGAATCGTCATTCATTGTTATCTAATCGTATTTTTTACCTATATTCATAAAGAGGATCACCGTGACTTGATCGAGCACTTGTATGCATTAAAACTTAATCAAAACAAACGAAGCTCATTCTTATGATTTCGATAGACAAAAATAGCCACTTAAGTACTACAGTCTAATAGTATTTTTTCACTTGTAAGTGAGTGGTTTTAGATTTGATTCTCGCTAAAACCAAATTTGAATCACATAATTGCTATCCCACTGTGAGACTAAGCCCAGCCCCTCTGTTAGTATAAATAATATCATTTACTAAAAAAGTAAAAATAAAGGCAAAGATAAGTATGCTTTATCTTTATAGTGTTTTTTTTTATGTGTTTAATTTTAAAGTATAACGTGTGAGTGTGTTGAACTTTGTAAATTTATTTAGGTGTAAATTTTGTAAGTTTATTGAACTGTGAATTTTGGTATTTTAAGAATTATTTTGGATATTTTTATTGAATTTTATTCTTATTTTGATATTTTTTTAGTGTTGGATTAATGTGACCGTCAATTTTCAAAATTATTGTCGTTGGAGATTCCTTGCCTCACCGACTTGACCTTAGGTGTGGAAGAGGATACTGCCGGATCCTTTTTCTAGAGATTCAACAATAATAATCAGTATTCATTAAGTACTATTTATATTTAAATTTTAAATTATTTATGATCGTACAATGTATGATGAACGAACCTTATTATAGAATCCTTAGGATCCTTATAAAAAGTATCCGACGATGATCTTTTTCCCTTAGGTGTCGGTTCTCTCGTTATTTGTGCGTTTCAAAGGCCAAAGAACGTGTCTTTGGACACATGTGTGTTTCAAATCCTTTAAGTTCAAAATATCTTATGACCTAATATTTCTATTAACTTGAGTCACACGTGTCTTTTTATTTTTATTTTATAGCTTTTTTACCAAAAATATAAACAACCGGTAACAAATCAGTATTCACACCTTACTATCATACCAGTGACTTCAATCAAACAGATTAACCAACTCGGAGATTACATCATACTAGTAACTTCAATCAAACAGATTAACCAACTCGGAGCATTGCGATACTTCCCCACAATTTTTTTCTTTCATTGAGTGAAGTTTGTGGAATTTAAATGCATAGCCAAGTTTAAACAAATGAGATAAAAGAGAGGCACAAAGCATTTTGTTGGGGGTAGAAGATTTGCAAACAGGAATTGGAAATGGCGAGGAATTTAGGGATTTTAGCACGACAGTTTCTTTGGAATCGCAGGAAACCAGGTGCAGATCTTCTTCATCATCGTCTCAAGGGTCCTTTTAATTGTGTCCAATCCCAATCCCAATCCCAATCCCGAACTACCCAAACCCTAACTGGTTCAACCCCAACCGCACCATCTTCAACAAACACAAAGAAAGTAATTTCCTTTAACTTCCCAGACTTGCGTCCTAATTATCGTCTTCTGGAGAAAACACGCCCCGACAAAGCCACCGGTAACTTTCTTTTGCCGTTTCTTTCTCAGCAACTTTCTGATGCTTTTCAAACTCTACCCAATTTCACAATTTCTTAACTTTCAGGGCCCTCAAACACTATCCTTAAGGCACCCGTGGACTTGATGGACAAACTTTGTTCTGTTCGCAGTAAGTTTGTTATTTACTTGTATGTTTCTTTCGTTGTTTGATTTCATCTGAGACACTTTCTTTAATAATTTTTCTTTTTGATTCGTTGGGATAGATGAACATAAGTCAGCAATTTTCTACATCACTTCATCCAGCTGCGAGGCTTGTAAGTTTACTTTTGCTTTTGTCCATCAAAGTCTTTGGCTGTGTTTTGGTCCGGTTAAAACTGAAAATCAAACCAATTGATTTCATTTATCTATTTATCTATTAGGTTTCTTAAGTGTTCTTCAGAATCAGTATGAAACCCAAGAATATCATAATAGTTCCGGTCAAGTTTTGATCCCCCATGACGCGTTGGGAAAATCTCACTTGTACTCAATTTTCATCACATTCTAAAGTAGTCCTTAAAGTCTATGCTTAATCCTAAAACTGAACCGGTTAACCAAACCCAGCCCAGAAGCCTAAAGTCTAAGTTCTAAACGATGATTCTATTCCACCGCCTATATTGATAAAAGGGATTAAAGTTGAAGAAATTGAGTGAAACTGAGGTGATCTCCATGCGTGCATCCCATCTTTACTAGAGACGGCGGGTCTTGCATGAAGAAAGACTGTATGCATGAAATTTATTTTATATGTTTTGTTAGGTAAGCCCAATGACTGATGTGATCAAATAATTTGCAATAAACTGCTGCTTTTGAACTGATGTTTGCTTTACTCCTTATGCAGCCCATAAACTTCTATCTCCAGTCATTTTAGAGCTGAGTGGGCGATTCCTACACGTAAGAGTATATAAGCTGATCCTTCCTGAGGTGCGGCATTGTCTTGACATTTTTCTTGGCAGTCATTTAAGTTACATTATGAACTGTTTGGATCCCATCTTTAGGTTAAAGGTCAGAACAACTCAAGTGTTGTAAATTTTGAAATCAAGTCATGGGTCTTAAGTATGGCATTTCTTTACTTCCTAGCTATGTGACAGTAACTAACTTTCTTGGGCTTGGAACCTTGGGTGTAAAGTTAATTTGTATTTCATGGCAGCAAGAAAAATACTGATTTATTTGATTGATTCTTTGTTCATTTCTTGGAGTTACTATTTTAGTTTCATTATACAGAGGAAGAGTGAGAGCAACAACTATAGTAGCATGAGACATTGCTCGGTCAATACAAACTTTTTCAGTTTTTATAATGTAACTTCTTGTAATGAGTCAAAAGATTGAGTTGTTTACTTCCAAACCCAGCAAAGTTCTACAACCATACTGTGCTAGTTCCCTCTAGAATACCAAATCTGACAATAGTTGGCACTAGTATAGATTAGTTAGATTTGTAGCACCTTAAATTTTTTTTTCAACAATTTTACCCCAACTACAAAAGTTTTATGCTAAAAAAACCAGACACTCATGGCTGGCAAGTGGATGGAAGTGGTAATGTGCCACCAAAATCATTGCTGGCAGTAGTGGAAAAAGGAGGAGTGCAGCTGGGTGTGTATTTTTCATTGTTTTTGTTTTGCTTTAAATGTTTTATTTTGTGGGTAAGATTGTCTAAAGAAGGGTGGTTTTTATTGACAACCCCAAAATGTTGAGAAAAGAGAAAGCGGATGCTGTTGGAGGTGAGTCGCCGGAATGGGCGGGCACGGATGACTGAGGATGGGATGGTGTGACTGGGGCCCTGGCTGGGTTTGAATAGAAGCACTTGTCAAAATTAGTTGACCCTAACATCGTTGTTCCTATCTGCAGTATGATGTTGGAGACAAAGTGGGTCCCTTCAATCTCATCAATTTGGTAAGTGATATCCTTTTATTTTCATTGAATGTAAATGTCCGTATTTGGTTCACCATATTAAGAGCTCATGTCTTCACAAACATGGTTAAAAAATATGGGTTGTGTTTCTTACCATACCTTAATTAATAGTTTTGAAATGCTATACTTGGCCAGCTGATTGGTATTTTGCCCTACTTTCATATGAAAATAGGAAAATAATGTGGGTGTTTGCATTGCATTTTCCCGCAGCCAAATATTACTTTCTTTCAATACGGGGATAAGGCTGCTGAGATTTTTGGCGTTGATATCACTGGCTTGAAACAGACATTTGAAAAACTCTTCAGGTGATTCTCTTATAGGGTGCTGCTACTTTCACATTTGTGTTCTCTCCAAATGTGATGGTTCTATATGTTCCGCAATTTTCTTCTTTGGTAGATGGTATTATACAACAACATATTTACTGAACAATATTTTTTGGCCTTTCTCATGTGGTCTGCTTCCAACTTAAAGCTTAGATGATGACGATTTGGAAGAGTCCAACATAACTGAAACCACTCAACCTTCAAAGTGTTGATTTGGAATGTGGGGGAAAAAGGGCTGCTAAACAACTTAAAACACCAGCTCGGATGCGGAGGGAGCCACAGCCCTTCTGAGGCCTCTCCAAACGTAAAGCTCAGCAATGAAATTGCTTAGAATTAATATATTATGGATGTTGTTAAGTTAAAAGTGTTTTAAATAATGGTTTAAACTTCTGTTGTTTGGAGAATATATTTAAATTGTTCTGTTTTCTTTCTGTTTCTGAAAATATATTCCAGCGGGCTGTATTTATTTAGACAGACTTTGAAGAATTTATAGGGTTCTGAATTTGATTTGAGAGGTCTTTCTTTCACTTTCTTCAAATAACTTGGAAAGGCTCGTTTCCTCTGGTCTTCAGAAACTGAGAAATCTGACAATTAAAATTAATTGGTAATATAGAAAATAACCCAATTACTTCGGAGTACATGCAATGTCCACCTTTTCCTTGATGCATAATTTATACTCTTGGCATCTCTCTCGTGTGTCGGATTTTCAAATACATCAACTTTCAAGCATGTCCAATTATTGGAGTGGTGGCTGCCTGTCGGATTTTCAAATATATCAACTTTCAAGCACGTCCAATTATTGGAGTGGTGGCTGCCTAAACCCTAAAGAAGAATGGCTTAACTGGTATTTCATCCTTGTGATCATGCTTTGACTTTATTAATTATAAACATCAGAAATCCATGTACAGTTCAAGATTATTGTACTTTATGCCCCGTGATAGGAGTGTCTTTTTCAAAGATGTAACCCGAAGATGGTGATGATATTTTTTGTGGTTTATGCAAATGCCACACGGCTTAGTTGCTTTTGTTGCGCAAGACGTGAATACACAAATTTCAAATTAATCTATTAACAAGTCAGATCATTATCGAGTTAAAATAAACAAAAAATGATAAGCACGACTCATTTGCAAGGTCTGATTCTCGTGTAATAGACAATATTATGTCAATAAGCTGTTTTGGCATTAACTGAAGCTGAGACTGGTTATGTGTACAGTAGCATTTCTTTACCTCTGCAAAATCACTGTGAAATCCATCCAAATGGTACAGATCCTCTAAACGCCAAACTTATCAAAATGATGAAAATGATCTTACCAACGTAAATAAAATAAAATGTGCTTTTATAAAAAACGGAATTTGGCTTTTAATTATTATTTTTAATTCTTCCCTTGTTAGTTTTTTAAAATTACATTTTGACCTGTTGTCCTTGCAGAACAAAAATACCACCACCATTACAAACGCTAATCTTACACTACCATTATTTCTACCGCCACCACCACCACTGCCTCCACAACCATAATCGCCATTGCCACCACTATCTTATAATATATTTTGGGATGTGCTATTCACACACACTATTTTATTTTTCACACACTCCTTGATAATTTTTGTTTATTGATCTTTTTCAATTTATCCGGTTCAACAGCTGAAAATTAAAAAGATGTGTGAGAAGGAAAATGAGGTGTATGGATATCACACCCCTATATTTTAGTCTAACATGTGATTTGTTAGTTACTTAAGTCCCAACACGGTTGGATCTCTACCTACGTTGAAATCACATTACCAAATATTACAAGGTGCTAAAATGCAACCATTTTCATTTTGTGTTTTTATGATTCAAATTTCGTTGAGTTATACGTTTTTAGAAAAATATACCCTAAAATGAGATACTTTTGTCGGCCTGCCACCATATCATAATATAAACATGTTGTCCCACCTTGTGCTTTTGGTCCACGAAAATGTCTCAAGACTAACTATTATAAATTAAACAAGTAAAATGCAATGATAAAAACTAAAATGAAGTCACTTAGTATTACGGTCTAATGGTATTCATCTTCACTTTTAAGTGAGAGGTTTTAAGTTCGACTCTCATCAAAGGTAAATTTGAACTACATTATTGATAGGCTATTGTAAGGCTAAATTTATCCCCTCTCCAATAGTATAAATAATATCGTTTGTTTAAAAAAAAAAAAATTGAACTGAAATCTGGGTAAACTAATAATTAGAATAAAGCTTTTTAGCCAAAATGGTTCCTGAGATTTGCATAACACATAACTTTGGTCCCTGAGATTGAAAATCAATAGAAATGGTTCCTGAAATTGTCCACCATCCATTATTTTGGTCATTCCGTTAAAAAACTCTGGTTAAGTGGTCTCGGAGCTCTTGGCTCGAAGTTTGGGCAATTTTCAAGGTTTCATAACTCAATCGTTTTTTAACCAAATTCAACCCATAATATATCAAAATGAAGATAAGAAAGTGTAGAACAAAATTATACCTATTTGGAGCCCAATGGTTGTCGGATATGGCTAGAAAATAGCCTAAAGTTGACTAGTCAGTGGAAAAACTGGAAAACTCGCCGGAAACCGGGTAAACTTTAAACGTTCATAACTTCTTCAATACTCAACAAAATCGAGTGATTCAAAAATAAAAATCATACTTTTCGATGAGATGAAGAGAATGATACCTTTCTCGATGGCTAACTCGCTGTGCTTTGGTTGAAAAATAGTCTAAAATGTGATTGATCCGTGAGCAAATTGGAAAACTCGCTGGAAACTGAGTAAACTTTAAACGTTTATAACTTATTCAATACTCAACAGAATCGAGTGATTCAAAAAAAAAAAATCATACTTCTCAATGAGATGAAGAGAATGATACATTTTTTTTTGTTTATGGCTAACTAGCCGTGGTTTGGCTGGAAAACGGCTCGAAAATGACTGTTTTGGTCTCATTGAGTTAGCCACTTTCAAGCAGTTTTTTGGCCAAACCACGCCGAGTTAACCATCTAAAAAGGTACTATTCTCTTCGCCGCATCGAGAAGTATGATTTTGGTTTTTGAATCACTCAATTTCGTTGAGTGTTGAAGTTATAAATGTTTAAAGTTTACCCGGTTTTCGGTGAATTTTCTAGTTTTCCCGCGGATTAGTCAACTTTCAGGCTATTTTTTGGCTAAACCATGGTGCTTTAGCCTTCAAGAATGTACCATTCTCTTTGTCTTGTTGGGAAGTATGATTTTCGTTTTCGAATCACTCAATTTTGTTGAGTATTGAAAAAGTTATGAACGTTTAAAGTTTACCTCGTTTCCAGTTTTTCGTAGAACAATCACCTTTCAGGCTATTTTCCGGCCAACTCCGGTAACCATTGGGCTTCCAAATAGGTATAATCTTGTTTTACACTTTTCTATCTTCATTTTGATATATTAGGGGTCGAATTTGGTTAAGAAACGATTGAATTACGAAACTTTGAAAATTGCCCAAATTGCCGGCCAAGAGCTTCCGAACCACTTAACGGAGTTTTTAACAGAATGACCAAAATAATGGATGGTGGACAATCTCAAGGACCATTTCTATTGATTTTCAATCTCATAGACCAAAGTTATGTGTTATGCAAATCTCAGGGACCATTTTGGCTAAAAAGCCTTAGTATAATTTATTAACCTTTAATTTTAGGGAATCTTAATGGAACGTTCTTAGTACTGTTCACTTTTAACATTAAAGACATTTTTACCTTGAAAAGTCACTTATGGTACTATTCAATTACATTTTTATTTTGATTAAAACTAAAGTTTTTGAGAACTTTTCGTTAGTTTTACTTTAATTTTATATCAAAAGCGAAAGCACAAGGGTATAATAGTAATTTAACACACCGAACCGAGCTGAAATGCAGAAACAAATTTGGAGCTCAGTTTCTCTGAGTCGCCGCCGGAGTTAAGTGGCCCTCACCGCCGGACCTCTCTCCCGCACCCAAACCCAAACACAGACACTACCCCCGGCCCAATTTAGCAAAAATTGACTTCTCCACCATCGTCAACCTGCCAACCGACCCGTGCAGGTACATTGCTAAGTGATTGTACTTAATTATGTAAATTCATTTTTTTTTAGTTTAGTTATGGAATTTACACGTTCAATTGGACATTTGGAATTTTGAAATGGATTGAGTTTGGTAGAGATTTGGTTCGAATTGGACATTTTATGCAGGCATGCATGCCCGAATCAGCAATTCGGCTTTTTTTTTTCAGTTTGCGAGTTGTTTAGACTCCTTTCTCAACTCTGAAGCAGAAATGAGTTTGGTTCAAGTATTGTTGGATTCCGTTTGTAATGAAGGTCTTGTTAGGAGGGTGGCTTCACAATACTTTGATAGCAAAAGGAAGTTGCATCCAGAAATCGATGCATTTTATAATACTACCGAGGCATTTTACTTTATAATACTTTATAATACTACCGAGGCAAGCATATATAAGCGCAAAATCACTCCTGAAATCGATCCAAATGGTACAGATCCTCTAAACGCCATACTTATCAAAATGATGAAAATGATCTTACCAACGTAAATAAATTAAAGAGAGTCTTAACGAAAAATTCGCGGTACTGTTCACTTTAACGAAAACCACATTTTTACACTAAAAAGTCAAACCTGGTACTATTCACTTTACCCTTTGTTTTGTCTTTATCATTAAAACTCAAAATTTTCAAGTTATTTTCATTAGTTTTTCTTAAAATAAAATGTGCTTTTATAAAAAAGCATAATTTGGCTTTTAATTATTATTTTTAATTCTTTCCTCGTTAGTTTTTTTTAAATTAAATTTTGACATGTTGTCCCTTGCAGAACAAAAATACCACCACCATTACAAACACTAATCTTACACTACCATTGTTTCTACCGCCACCACCATCACTGCCTCCACAACCATAACCGCCATTGCCACCACTATCGTATAATATATTTTAGTCTAACATGTGATTTGTTAGTTATTTAAGTCCAACCATGGTTCGATCTCTACCCACATTGAAATCACATTGCCAAATATTACAAGTTGCTAAAGTGCAACCATTTTCATTTTGTGTTTTTATAATTCAAATTTCGTTGAGTTATAAGTTTTTAGAAAAATATACCCTAAAATGAGACATTTTTGTCGCCCTGCCACTTATATCATGATACAAACATGGTGTCCCACCTTGTGCTTTGGGTCCACAAAAATGTCTCAAGACTAACTGTTATAAATTAAACAAGTAAAATGCAATGATAAAAACTAAACTGAAGTCACTTAATACTACGATCTAATAGTATTCTTGTTTATCTGTAAGTGAGATATTTTAAGTTTGACTCTCGTCAAAGGTAAATTTGAATCATATTATTGCTAACTCATTTTAAGGCTAAACTCACCTCCCTCCTATAGTGTAAAAAATATGATTTAAAAAAAAAAAAAAAAAAAAACTAAACCGAAATCTGGGTGAACTAATTATTAGCGTTTAATTAGTTCAATTTATTAGCGTTTGATTTTATCCCAAAAGCAAAAGCGAAAGGGTAAAATAGTATTTTAACACACTGAAGTCTGAACCGACCTGAAATGCAGGAACAAAGTTGGAGCTCAGTCTCTCTGAGTCGCCACTCCCCGGAGTTAAGTGGCCCTCACCACCGGACCTCTCTCCCGCACCCGAACCCAAACACAAACACTACCACGGCCCCAATTTAGCACAAATTGACTTCTCCACCATCGTCAACCATCCAACCGACCCGCGCAGGTACGTTGCTGAGTGATTTTACTTGAATTATGTAATTTCTTTTTTTTTTTCTCAGTTTAGTTATGGAATTTACACGTTCAATTGGACATTTGGAATTTTGAAATGGATTGAATTTGGAAGAGATTTGATTCGAATTTTGATTTTACCATAAGTTTTGGCCCTGAACAATTTGAAACGGATATATATTTTAAACTTTTCATTAGTTTTGTTTAAAAAAAAAAAAAAAAAATGAACTTTCACGTTTTAGTTAAAAAAAAAAAAACTAATGAAAAGGGTTTGAAAATTTTAAGTTTTGACGATAAAGACAAAATAAAGCGTAAAGAAAATAGTATCATGATTGATTTTTTAATGTAAAAATATAATTTTTCGTTAAAATAAACAGCACGAGAAGTTTTTTGTTAAAATTTCCTTAATTAAATGGGGTACCCTGGAGTGCTTGTATTCTGAAATTATATTCGTGTTTTTGGTATTGATATCGGGATATGTTCATTTGATTTTAAATCCATCATCTTTTTTTGGCGGTGGTACATTTTATGCAGGCATGCATGCCCGAATCAGCAATTCGGGCTTTTTCAGTTTGCGAGCAATTTAGGAGGGTGGCTTTTTCAGCAATTCGGGCTCATGGTATACTGCTCAATGGATGGTTTCCGATCAAGGAAGCTGAAAGGCCAGGGCGGCTTTGGGTGGAAATGAGGGAGGGAGAATGTGAAACCTAGCAACGTATGGTACACTTGTGGAAGGATATTGTCGGAGTCGGAGCGTCGCGCTGAAGGTGCAAGCAGGTGCTGGGGATGATGGAGCGCTTTTTGGTCCTGGAATTAGGCCCCACTATTTCAACATACAATTCTCTGGTAAAGGGCAGTTGCAAGGCTGGAGATCTTGTAGGGGCTAGTAAGATCCTTAAGACGATGAAAAGTCGGGGTACTGCCCCTACTCCAACAACCTATAACTATTTCTTTAGGTACTGTTCAAAGTATGGGAAAATTGAGGTTTATTGGACCTTTATGCCAAAATGATTGAATCTGGATGATCCGCTTACTTTCCCAACTTTGTTGGAGATGTTAAGCGTGGAGGGGAGATTGAATTTTGCTATTCAAGTTAGCAAGGAAATGAGATCAAGGGGATGGGAGCGACAAGCAACGTGTTGCTTCATTTGCTTTACAATATGCATAAATTTAAAGAGGCTGCTGAAGAGTTTCAGGACATGATATGGAGGGGTTGAATTCCTCAGTATTTTACTTTCCAAAGGATGAGTGATTTGTTAAGGAAACAAGGAATGAATGAAATGGCACACAAACTGTGCAAGATGATGTCTTGTGTTCCTCATTCAACAAACTTGCCGGATACATATGTCAGAGATGAAGATGCATTTCGTGCAAGGAGGAAGTCTATAGTTCACTGAAGGCCGAAGCGACGTCTGATTTGTTAAAAAACTTGTTCAGATCCAAGGAACCTGTCAAGTTTAGGGGATCGCCTGAAAATCTTGTATCAAGAGCATACCAGTTGATAGAGGATATTAAGAGAAAAGCTACGATCCAATGATATCCAGTTTTCTTTTCTTTGGTACTATACATTAATTCTGGCATTCTCTGCGAGGAAGGTACACTTGAGTTGACTGCAGGTGCAATAGAAAGGCAGTTGAGAGCTATTTCCGGTAGAAGAAACAAAGCAATGTTTAAATTCATGTGCCTTTTGGTGAGACTTTGATAATTATATGGAAAAGCCTACGGGCCAACTACTTTTGGAGGATCCTTCTTATGAATTGAGATTATTTGTAATGTTACAACTTCTTATGACACTCTAGACGTGCAGCATTCTGAAGCCTGATGGGCATCCATCTTGAAGTCAAGTGGTTTGAATACAGGTTCAGTACACGTACAAACTGAATTTCATGGGATATAAAAAATGAAGCTTTGGTGGGAATCAGTTTTCAGACGTATGTAAGATGCGAAGTGGACTAGGAGAGAGGGGGCAATCAGCAATGTTTCTTTCGTTGAAGATATTGCGGAAACTGGATTTTGGAGTGTTTTGGGTTCCTGCATAACCAGAAAGGATGAAGAGGTTGGTGTTCCTAGTAAATATGCGGCAGTCAACCTCTGAAACACACGCGATATGCAGGTAAATGTCCAACTGTTGACCTTTTAATCAAGTTTTGACGAATTCAAGTCAAATTGCTTTGGTTGATTATGTTAAACCTTTCTCTGAGAATACATTATATTTTTGACACATCGGTAAACATGTTGCTTTTGGTGAATTCAATGGTGAAATACTAGAGGAGGATTGTCGACAGCATGGAAAGCTTTGATGGATAACCAAGCTGCTGCAAATCACCTTGGAATTAAGGATTGCAAAGTTATGAATATTATATTCAGAAAATTATTTAACATAAATGATTATCATATCCTTGACCAAATTGACGATCAAACTGGGCGTTGATGGTTATTCATCATAGCTTTCCATGTTGTCGGCAATCCTCTTCTGGTATTTCGCCATTGAAATTGTTGTGAGCTACATCTATAATATGAAGCGTTGGCCATTGGTATCCGTTGACATCCAATGCCAACGGAGAGTCAGATTGGAGGACAAGGACTCGCAAGAGGGAAGTGTTGTTCGAAGAGCAGTCGAAGAGCAGGGAAACGTGTCCATTGTCTGATTGTATCCAAGATTTACAACTAGTAATTTTGTGCAGCTCTGGCCTTTGATTTGATTAGCACCGAGGAATCATACCACTGAGTGAGTGAATTATTGGACAGATGAGAAACCTCAAGAGATGGCGAATTACCGGGCGATCCTGGAGTGATGCCGTGGAGGTTATTGCTTGAAAGTGAGAAGAGTTTGGCGTTCGTCAAGATGATTGTCCTATTAGTGTTTGATTTTCGGGTTGCTTTTGTATACAGTTAGGATTGTTGATGAATTGGCATCCTTCTTGTACTTTATGCCCCGTGGATCGTGATAGTGGAGTCCTTTTTGAAGATGATAGTTTCTTGGACGAAAAGTAATGATACAATTTATGTGTGTGAATATGACTGTTTCATGGACGAAAATATTTGAAATCTTATTTCTTCACCCAATATCCTCGGGGACATTGGCGAAAAGAATATAGTCACAAAATATTCACGGATATCTTCTCCTTGGCTTCTCTTCTTCCCATTGAGAGAAGAATGAAGTTTAAAAGCTGTGCATATTCATATGAACCTTAAGCAATGTCTGTCAAAATCCCCTTCACACTCAATACAATCTCAAAAGCTGAAACAAAAAAGTTTCTTTTCCAAACAACCCAACACTCAGCTTTCCCTGTATAATATGGCCGACTGATATCGGTGACAATGAACTGATGGGGATCAACAATCTGCCTCCAAGAAAATGAACAACACGTATAAAAGTAGATGAAGCTGTGTACATTCACTTGAAGCTTATGAATCTTGCAATGTTTGTCAAAATCCATTTCACACTCAATACAATCCCAAAAGCAGAAACAAAATAGAAAAATTCAAGTTTGTTTTCCAAACAACACAAGTTACACAACCAAGCTGCTGTTCAAGTCTATCGTTCAAAACCAACAACTGGCTAGCTAACTAATAGTCTAATATCATGACTAACTAATATAAGTGAATCTACTGTATTAACTTCATTGCAACTCTCACTCCTCCTTTACAGCTTGTAAGTTGTTTGGTATTTCTCCTTTTTCCCATTCCAGATGGACACTCTGCAGATTGGGTGCTTTAAGTTACAACCACACCACAAGAGAAAAACCCACAAACAGGGCTTAAACTTCTTGTTGTATAATACCATCTCACTCAACATTATATACCAAAGAGGCAAAATATGATCATATCTAGACATAACACTAAAATTGCATAAAACTAGCTGCATAAAAGAATTACTTTACTTCAAGAGTTTCCCAAATCATTCTACTTTGCTGTAGTAAAATTAACTTTTTGTTTCTACTGAGATTGCAGATGCTCTCAAAGAGCATGCCCAAAAACGACTTCCTCAATATCATATCCATCTGTGATACCCAACTACAGAGAAAAACAAAGTCAAATTATTAGATTTATGTCTCCCAAAAACTAAGCAACTAGAACAAGAATATAAGAAAATTTTCTTACCCTGTGTTTAGCATCCATAGCGATATGCCGGCTAAGTTTCAGGAAATCGAGCATATTGGACCCTTTGTAGTTGGTGTGGTAATCTCTCACAATATGTTTCAACCTTGACCCGTGATCTTGTAGCTCAAACGATGTCTTCCAGTCCAAGGTTAAAAGATCTCCACCGTGAGATGCATACATGTTCTTCAGCTTAATAGTCACCAACCTTAAGATATAACCTTGGGTGCAATTGACGAAATTATGGATTTGAAAAAATTTCACGTAACTCTAAATTTGTAAGCCAATCCGTTTTTTTAGGCCACAGAAGTGAAAGATGGCTGAGTAGATCTTAGAGGCACCTATAATAGAAAAAACAAAACATAACAATTGAATTATTTGTCGTAATTCTAATTAAATGTTAAATAAGAAAAGAAAAACATGAAAATTAAAATCAACTTACATAGAAAGTAGCGTCAACTTATGTAGCGTTTCAAGTTCAACTATTGTGCCCTTATGACTCAGTTTGTCAATTTCCTCTCGAATAACACTCCTAAAACTCACTACCGGGTCAATCCGTTTTAGAATGACACATCTAACTTTACTAGCCACCAAATACAGTGAGTGCCAACCAAAGGATGTATCTGGATAAGGCTTTTGTTTGTGATCACCCACTATTTCCATTGTATTTCTACCAATAAAGAAAAGAAAGAATGAACAAAGGCTAAAAAACAACAACTAGTACGATGTATACAAATGAAAACACAAAATAAAAAAATATCACTCACCTCAATATCAACTTGAACTTCGATGTGAGTATTTGACTATCAATTTGTTTCAACTCAAGTGGACTATTCTTTACCAACTGAAATAGGGTGGAATCCATCTATGTAGAGATGATCAAGACTTTGTCATCCACAAATTTGATCATATAACTTGGATATATATACGACTTCTTCCTATCAAATTTGTTAAATAAGTTCAAATTATCCAAGTTATATAATCAAATTTGTGGATGGCAAAGTCTTGATCATCTCTACAGAGATGGACTCCACCTTATTTCACTTGGTGAAAAATAGTTCATTTGAGTTGAAACAAATTGATAGTGAAATGCTCACATCGAATTTCAAGTTGATATTGAGGTGAGTGATATTTTTTTTTTTTTGTGTTTTCATTTGTATAAATCATACTAGTTGCTGCTTTTTACTTTTTTTTTCTTTCTTTTCTTTATTGATAGAAATACAATGGAGATAGTGGATAATCTCAAACAAAAGCCTTATCCAGCTACATCATTTGGTTGGCACTCACTGTATTTGGTGGCCAGTAGAGTTAGATGTGCCATTCCAAAACGGACTGACCCAGTTATTGATTCGGTAGTGAGTTTTAGGAGCGTTATCCGAGAGGTAATTGACAAACTGGATCATAAGGGCACAATGGTTGAACTTGAAACGCTACATAACTTGACGCTACTTCCTATGTAAGTTGATTTTAATTTTAATGTTTTTCTTTTCTCATTTAACATTTAATTAGAATTACAACAAATAATTCAATTGTTATGTTTTGTTTTTTCTATTTTAGGTGCCTTGAAGATTTAATCAACCATCCTTCACTTCTGTAACCCAAAAAACGGAATGGCATACGAATTGAAGTTACGCAAAAATTTTTTGAAACCCATAATTTCGTTAATTGCATCCAAGGTTATATCTTAAGGTTGGTGACTATTGAGCTGGAGAACGTGTATGCATCTCATGGTAGAGATCCTTTAACATTGGACTAGAAAACATCGTTTGAACTACAAGATTACGGGGTCAAGGTTGAGACATCTTGTGAGAGATTACCACACCAACTACAAAGGGTCCAATATGCTCGATTTCCTGAAACTTAGCCGGCATATCGCCATGGATGCTAAGCACAAGGTAAGACAATTTTCTTATATTCTGGTTCTAGTTGCTTAGTTTTTTTAGACATAAATCTAATAGTTTGACCTTGTTTTTCTCTGTAGTTGGGTATCACAAATGCAGAGATAGATATGATATTGAGCAAGTCATTTCCGAGGTTTTTGGGAGTGCACTTGGAGATATACAGCAAAGTAGGGTGATTTGGGAAACTCTTGAAGTAAGGTAAATTTTTTATACAGCTAGTTTTTTGCAATTTTAGTGTTCTGTCTTAGATGTGATCATAATTTGCCTCTTTGGTATATAATGGTGGGTGAGATGGTATTATACAACATGTTTACTAAGTCCTATTATGGGTATTTCTAATATGGTGTAGTTGCAACTTAAAGCACTCAATTTGCAGAGTGTCCATCTGGAATGGAAAAAAGAAGAAGTACCAAACAACTTACAAGCTGGAAAGGATGGGAAAAATAAAGGAGAAGTGAGAGCTGCAGTGACGTCAATACAGTAGATTCACTTATATTAGTTAGCCATTATATTAGACTATTAGTTAGCTAGCCAGTTGTTGGTTATGAACGATAGACTTGAACAAAAACTTGATTGTGTAACTTGTATTGTTTGGAAAAGAAACTTATATTAGTTAGCCAGTTGTTGAATTTTTCAACTTGATTGTGGAACCCTAAGACCAAAACACAGCCCAAGACTTTGATGGATAAAAGTAAACTTACAAGCCTTGCAGCTGGATGAAGTGATGCAGAAAATTGCTGACTTATGTTCACCTATCCCAACGAACCAAAAAGAAAAATTGTTAAAGAAAGTGTCTCGGTTCAAATCAAACAATGAAAGAAAGTGATGCATAAAACTCATTTCTTGATTTCGTATAGTTGTGTAATGAGTATAATCACTAGCTAGCTGACGGTGAGATATAAGTCATGTGAATATATATTTAAATAGAATTACTTAAAAGAAAATTTGTTTTTAAAAATAATCATTTATTGCATAAACTGGTATTACATGACCCTTTCTCTGCCTTTATAACCGCATAGCAATCTTCATCTAGCTAATGTCATGCTTGCACTCTAAAGAAAGAAACTGAACAAGTACACATTCCCATATTAAAACATACAGTCGACTAACCATTGTACAATCAGTTACTCTACAATATTGAAATCTAAACAACTCAAGGGGTATAAAATGTGAAATATTGCAAAACAACAACAACGTTATGGTTACCTCAATTGTGTGTGGTGTCTGGCTATTAGGTGTCCCATCGGTACAAAAATTTGTAAGTATTCCCTGCAGCACAAAAGAATCCAACATGTGAAGAAACAAAAGAATCCAGCATGTTACCAATCAATAGAGGGGGAGGGGGGAAGGGGGTGAGGTGGTGGGGACGAAGTTATGCAGTTAACAAAAAAATTTCAAAACTATCATTGGTTGTATGTCTGTGTGTTTCTAATCTTATACAAAAAAGTTCAAATTATCCTCCTTAAATTGGAGTGCTCTGGAATACTCCTTGTCAAAGAAAAAAGTTCAATACATGCTATCATCAAGTTGTAAAAGATTGGACATGAGTGAGTATATAGGAAAACGAGATAAACACACTCACACACCCTATTTTAACTTTGTCCGTTGTCTCTGTTTATTCATTTAATCTTATGATAAGAGACAAAGAAGAGCACATGAGATGCTAAAAATAGTGTAAAAAAATCACCGTCGTAACTTCAACCAAAGTGATCAAACACGGCAACATTCACATAAGTTGCATATAATTACACATATCTACCATTTACCTTTGAAAGTTGTATTAAAATCAAGCATGTGAGTTGTCCTTAAGGTAATTTAATTAAAGTTTACAGTGATTAAGATGCATTTGCGATTTGTTTGGTTGTTTTCTACCATTTGGATGAAGAGAGTTGATGAATATTAGGTTTGGTTTCAGCTCTTGGAAAAAACAGAGTGAAACTTAAAACAGTTGATACAAAGCAATTGCAGGCATAAAAAGGTTTATTTGTTATTCCTATGTTAACACCCAGTTGGTGCATTGTATGTATCACACATAAAATGACAATGAAATGACTAAATCACACTCCGATACGTGCATGCTAAGAAACAAGATTGCTAATTAAAAAGAAAAGATACTTAGATTTAAACTTAGGAGCACCTTCTTGTTCATTCATTTGTAATCGAATTACTAATGAATTGTACACTTGTAACAATCAAAACCAATGATTTTTTTATCTAATCACCATTTGAAGATCACTCTTACAAAAAGATTAAAAAACTCAATTAAATTGGAGATTGTTTGACTTTCTATATGTATCAATTAAAATGGATCAGAAAGTTGGTAGAGTGTGAAAAGCATCAGAAAGTTGCAGAGAAAGAAACAGCAAAAGAAAGTTACCGGTGGAGGACCCTTGAGACGATGATGAAGAAGATCTGCGCCGGGATCTTAGAGAGATTGTGTGAGAGAGGGGAATGGATGCTTTGAAAGAGGTGGAGTGTTTTGAGGATTCTTATAGAGATTGAGTGAGTGTTAGAGATGAGGGAAAAGAGAGAGATGGCAGAGTCACGGGGAAGATAAATGAGGGAAAAGAGAGAGATGATAGGGACTAGAGAGATGGCAGAGTCACGGGGAAGACAAATGGGGGAAAGGAGAGATGGCAGAGTCACGGGGAACGGTGGAGGAGATACGAGGGAAAAGAGGGATCGCAGACTATGACTGCACAGGGAAAAAAGAGATGGCAGATCTTATCGAAATCTTAAATAAATTATTATAAACAGATAGGAACATATAGTATGTCAAAATTAATTGAAAATTTTATCGAAAATCTATCCATAAAATAGTACTTTTGGTTGAAAATCTTATCGAAATCTTGATTAAATTATTGTAAACATAATGACACGTGACACGTCAGAATTGGTTGAAAATCTTATCGGAAATCCATTCATAAAATAGTACTTTTTGAATAATGACACATACGTAACAAGATTGGTTAAAAATCCAATCTGAAATTAAAACAACGGTTTTACTCAGATCCACCCAATTTTCTGTTTGGCTGTGGAGAAAAAAAAAAGGTGGGATCTTTCTCTTATTTTCCGGGAAAAATGTTCAAACTTCCACGAACCCACACTTTCTTTTTGCTCACAAAATTCAACCAGAATCGCCAAATTTTGAAAAGGAAAAAAAAGGGAAATTGATCAATGGATTTGAAGTGGGTAATCAACCAACCTGTACATGAAGATGTCTCTGTTATCACCGAGTGGTTTCTTGCAGAGGAAACAAGCATCCAAGAAATGGGGTTGGTGGTGCTCCTCAAACCTGGCGTCACAGAACCTCCCAGATCTCGGCGAAAAAGAAGACGACGAAGAAAACGAAGCCATGGCTGGAGAAACGTTTCTGAAGCTGCCACTCCGCCTCGCGAAACACATCGGCCTTGAATAAAACGGGTGGTTGGACCCGGAAAACCCGGCTTCCATATCAGCCAGCGAGGCCAACCCATCGTCCTCGTCGATGAAACAAGGCCGCCTTGCAACGCCGGAAACTGATTCCATTTCCTCTGAAGTTCTGATGATCTCAGTGCTGGAATGCGTTTCGCAGGAGAGAGATCGAAACGGAGAAACGGAGAAACAGAGAGAGATGTGGTTCATGAGGAGAGGGTGGAGGGTTTTTAAAAAGAGAGTTGGTGTGAGACGAGAGAGAGAAAGTCTAGAGAGAGAAAGAGATGTAAACAACAAACAATAAACAAACGGCAGATTTGTGAAATCCGTGATATTGAATCCATTGGCTCAAAATACCCGTATTCCCTAAGTTCCAGATATTTAAATCACAAAACTCTCACCCTCATTCTCCAAGTAAATTACGTGTGTGCCATCGAGCCCAAATGGGCGGTGCCACAGAGGCAGTGGCTGTTTCGTAGTTTTGAGAAACACAAGGGTTAAAAGTCAAGAGACTGTGTTGTCGTATCCGGGGTCCGGGGTCCGAGATCCTTCACGGTTCTCCGGTTTTGCGCTCAGAGCAAGTGGGACCCGCGTCGCGCGACCTAATCGCACTCAATGATACGTTCTAACGTCCGTCGGAGTGGAACTGAAGAGGGAGAAGGGGCGGTACCACGCGCCAGTACATTGCGCGTCAACGTAACGGTCACACCGCCCTTTCTACTTCATTTGCCTTCAAGTGAAAATACGTGGGTTTCTTTGTCTTTGTTGGCGACTTCCGACATCGCGTCATGGCAAATCACTTTTACTTTTGATTTTTTTCTTTTCTAGTATAAAAGAAATAAAGTTCTAAAACTTGACCATAAGCTGATTTGGTATTGCTGTATTTTGAAAAAAAAAACTATTTTTGTTATGCTATGAAAAAAAACGGCTTTGAAATAAAGCAGTAAAGTGTTTGATAAATTTTTTTGTAAAAGTGTTTATGAAAAAAAAAAAAAACAGTATGATAGTGTTTGGTAAAAAAAAAATATTAATTAGTATGACAAACTATTTCAATTAAAATATTTTAGACTCAATAGCTAGAATTCATTAGTAAAATATTGTTAATGTACTTGAAAATAACCTAATTAGATACATTCATATGTGCAATCTGTAATTTTGGAGAAAGTGCAATCTGTTTGTTTGGTGGGTGAGAGCAATTTACTTGAAATAGGAAACCAATATAAACTTCCATAGACCTTTTTTTTTTTTGTTTCCTTTGTTTAATGATTATATTTTTGTTCATCACTTTCATATAGTAGTGATGTTCATTACCTTATTTATAATCGTTAGATGAGTTGAAGTTTTTAAATTTGTGTCTATTCACTATGCAGATCTCTAAATTTAAACTCATTTAATGGTTATAAATAAGATTGTGAAAATTATCATCACTTAAGAATGATAAGCAAAAATATCCCATTATTTAATTGCAAATATCATTACATCCAATATTTTCAAATATGACGCTACGGAGATCAATTTTTTAGATTAAATTTTGTAAATCATATGACGTGGTCATTGATTATTTAATTACTTAAGTTTGTCAAATGTCTTTAAGAGATACCAAATGTCAGGAGAGATGAAATTTGTCACTGATCTTGAAAGTTCTTATATTCGAATAGTTTATTTTCGTTAATCAATACAAAATTTATATGTAGTCTAATATTTTAGTGAATAAAGTGTTAGATTTCACCCATATGTTCCATGTTCAAAACTTTCTCTCTTAATTATTGTAATAGTTTCGAATTCCCTTCCCCCTTAATAATAATCAAACAAAATTTGTAGTTAAACGAGAAATTGTATTAGCATAAAATGACTATGTTGCAGAACCATTCATATCCGAATATGTTGTTTCTTAAAACCAAAAATGCTTATCACTAGATGAAAAAACGACAGGATAAAAAAAAAAAAAAAAAAACACGAAGGAATAGGAGAACATAGAAATTGGAAAAAGTAAAGAAAGGAAGCTCTCCTTAGTAGATATGATTTCTTATTTTCACGTGTTTGATTGCAATCAATTGCCCATGCATGTACGAGTGACGGCTAACAGTTGATTAATACAGAGCCTTAACGCATCAATGATCAGCCACTTAATTCAATAGTAGCATCCATCTTACCTCCAAAATACTGATGCTTTAACAATACAAAATAGTACATGTGAGAACATATTAACTGATTTTTAACAAGATATTTACAAAGATACACACACACACATATCTGTATTTACTCGTTACACTTGATCTTCGACTAGAAAGAGGGATTTTTCGGTGTACCCGGCACACCAAAAAAATTTGGTGTACCCTCACTCATAATGGTGAGGGTGCACCAAAAAAATTTGGTGCACCCTCACTTTTTGTACCCCAAAAAAATTCTAATGAGTGAGGGTACACCAAAAAAATTTGGTGTACCCGGTACACCTAAAAATTTTCCGACTAGAAAGGATGCAATCCTGAAGATGCTTTTGAGACCGAAATAATTTTCGATCATCCAAATGGGTTTCCTCTCATTGGAGAAAAAGTTTCTGAGCTGCTGCTGGGTGCTGGGTATTTGACTCTTGGTTGCCGAAACGGTTGCTGAGTTGTGGTTAGGGATCCAAAAGCAGCTTCGTCCCTGCCAAAGCCACCAACTCCTTGCGGTCTGCAACGATGACATTAGATGAAAGTTAACAAATTAGACATAATCGCAGACGAAATTTGTGAATATCATGCACGTTGGTCCATTCATGCAAAACAAAAACGTAAGAGAAAGCAAGACATGGTGTTCTGATAGCATATGCTCTGCAAAATATAGGGAAGACGACAATGGCGGAGCTATCAAGGGCTGCCAATGTCGAGCAAACTTGCCTCCAGATAATATGGTACAAAGGAGATAGTTAAGAACGATAATTTACCTTAAAAATTGCACATTGTTAGGTAATTGATGCCCCAAGTACGACCCTGAGATGATAGTATTAGACATAATACAAGACAAGAAGCCAAGAAAGAAAGTTGACATGAAACATAAGGTAACAAAGTGAATTTACTTGGAGAGAAAGCATTTGCGAAGGAAGGCGAGTGTGAAGGCATCATCATGGATTCATTAGTTGGAGACTGGGGTGTCTTAAACTGCGACATAGTAGGAAGGCTTGAAGCATGCATCAAGCCTGGTACTGGCACGTTATGCAGAGCTCCTTGCAATGAAGACATGGAAGGAAACTACACGACGACAATATGTGAAGGTTTTTAAGGTGAATGCCAAGGATCTGAACTTTTATTTCGTGATAAGAAAACTAAGAGCATAAACTTTAAACTTTGCAAAAAAGAGAGAACACGATATACGAGATATCAATTGAATGTTGTGCGTACATGTGTGGAAGTTACTAGACTTTTTTCTTCATCAAGATCAAAAGGGTTTTTGGGTTTTGCTGGACCCGGAAATACTGGAGCAGGCTGTAAATGAAAATAACATGTCAATACCCTCCATATTGTATGCAGAAATTAATACACAACATACTCAGATTTGTAATTTTTTACGCATTATATACCGTCGCAGTAGGGTAATACTGCATGCTGTACCCCATTCCATGAGCTGGAGCAGTATGCCAGCCTGAAGCTTGTCCAGGAGCTGATGAGTAACTTGCAGCGAAAAGGTCCTGCAGAGAATTTAACAAAAGACAATCAAGAAACATTTTACCGGAAAAAATGCATATGTATGAAGCAAATAACATGATTTCATACCGCTGGGAGTTCCTTTCGCATACTAGAATTCCTTTCCACTTGGGATTTAGCTCCACTGCCACTGTCGGTGTGTTCAGCTGGATTTAACATAGATTGAGATGATTTTTCAGCAGGAATACTGAAAGATCTTTGTATGCTTGGTTCCAGTGACAAATTCCTTAACTGCATATGTATATACATTAAGCAACAAGGTAAGCAAGTCGCGTAGCAGATAAGAAAATTAAAAATTATCATTCGAATTCATGAATTGAGAGTAATTAATTAAGGAGAAAGCGATTCTCATCTTACCTCACCATTTGAAGCTCCAACTCCATAATTGACATGATGTGAAGTAGAACCACTATCCGCAGCGAAGGATATAGAGGACTGATCTTTCTGTGTACTTAGTACTAACTGCTTCTCATCAGTTGCTTTTACAGTGGTGTCGCCACCAAAAATAGCAAGATCTTGCACAGGACCTGCATCAGTAGGTTGTGCTGCCACAGTGGTACTAGTCGATGTAGATGTAGATGCATTACTTGTATTAAGTAATGTTGGCATCTGCTCTGCAGTTGCAGCTGGGGAAGCACCACCGGGGGGCATGGTGTTTATGCCCGCAGTTGAGGGAGCACCATCATTGCGTGGTGTCTCAGATGCATTACTCACAGGAACAGATGGGGGACTTGCCAATTCAAATAGCAAAGATTCCAGAGGGTCTGCATTTGGAACCGCAGTTGGAACCTGAGGTGCCTTCTCCGTTGAAGATGATTCAAATGAGGCCCAGTTGTTATCATTATTGGGTACAGGTGTTTGTTCCAATTGCGATTCTGCAGCATGTGGGGGCTCAGAATCAGTATTGAAATCAATCAAGCTTAATACGTTTTGTTCCACCGCATTCCCAACATGGCCACCAGTAGATTTAGTTTTCTACAAAGAAAACCACAAACTATAAGTGCATATTTTTCTTGAAAACCATCTACAAAAAGAGTAGTAGGAAGCTTGATAAACTTTTTGGTAAGGTTGGCCTTTCTACGCCATTTAAATGTCCAGGTGCACGGATCTCACAAAAATAAATTGATAGACAGCATTGTAAGAATTTAGATTCAGGATCTCATGTACATAGAACCCTCCCCTAGCCACCCGAAAGAGGAACCACTACGTGCATGACCACTTATGTCCATGCGAGGGAATGCTAAAGCAGTACATATAGAGTAGGGACATATAGAATAGGGAAAAGTACCCATTGTTCTACGCCAACAGAAACCAAAACATGCTTAAAAAAATACTACGGAAATAAGAATGTGCATAACAAATAATGAGTCTCATGAAGGAGAAGTGCATTACAACCGCATAAAAAAAAATAAAAAAATAAAAAATAAAAAGAACCCCATACTTCAAAGAACTAACCATCATAACGTAAGCAGCTACCCACCTGATTATGAGCAGAACCATCAGTATCCTTCTGATTTGCTGTGGACCTTTCACCAACCTGCGGAGGAGGCACATTTTCCCCTAGTTTATCTTTAACAGGGGGTGCAACAGGAGAACGGGAGCTTTCTGCGGTCTTCTTATTGTCTGGTCTCCTGCTTTGGACCTTGTATTCTCCACTTGAGGATCCTCGTTTTTCTGCCCGAATCCTATTATCAACTATCTCGAAACATAGAGGAGCTTTCTTAAAACCACCACTTCTTGAATTTTCTGGAGAATATTGAGGACTTCTTCTTTCATCATAGTAATATCTTAAATTTCTTCCACTTGGACTATAACTATAACTCCGTTCCAACCTGTTATCATCATGGAAGCTCCTGGATCCAGTATGATGTCCACCAACCCTCCGATTATCATCAGACCCCTCAATGCTCTGTATTAAATAAATAAGAATCTTTAACTGGAAGCAACCAACAAGAATCGCATCACTACAGAATTAAAATGAGGTCTATATTTGTAGTGCTTGCTGCTGTTGATATTGTATGCAAATCAGGAATGACCAAGTTCTCCACAAGACAAAAGTAGTATCATACGAAATAGAAATGTATTGAATAGGCAATCTTAAAATAAATGGCTCACCAATTGCAGCCTTGGGAGCTTGTTGCCACTCCTCTCACTAGTGTTGATACTCCTCGCGCTGACACTCCTCTCGCCAGTGTATTTTCTATCAATGTATACATGCTTGATAAAACTCCTGAGTCCATGAAGATTACTGCAAAGTAGTATGTGAATTAGAAAACATCCGATATGAAGTATTCCATACTACAAAGAGATACATGCTTAATCACCTGGCATCAGGGTAAGAATGGTACTGAGGATCCCAATCTTTAAAATAAATTTGTCTAACTCTCTGTAAATGAACGCTTTAGTAAGAATGTTAGTGGATGAGAAAGAATGATAGTGAGACAAATGAATGTACATGCTCACCTCGTTTCCACCTGCTTGAAGTGCACTAACTTCTTCTGCATTAAATTTGGCCATTGACACTGATTTTACTCGGTGAGTGAACTCCCGACTGGACGATTTGAAAATCTTAATTGGTCAGCACTGAGAAGATGCCAAAATCAAAACAATCCCACGCAGAACTTATGATCAAAACCAGACATGACTACTTACTGTACTCCACTACAATTTGTACAGACGAATGTCATGAAGGTCGTGCAAACATATTGTGGTCCCTGCACAATGAATACATGTTTAAAGGAAAACTTCATATACTCACTCCGCAAGAATCTTCTCATATATCCTTCTAAGCACATGGGCGTGCATTTACGGATTTCGAATATTAATTGGCAGATATTAATAAATACAGTGTTTTGCTGCTTCCACTAGTACAATGCTGCAGATGAAGAACCATTAATGATGCCTGTAGTTTCACTTATTTGGGCACAATATAACAAGAAGACGCCATACCAAGCTATTGCAGTTGATGCATCTTTTATTCTCGGGAAGTTTCAAAAGACTGCGAATTGTTCTTTCGATTTTCTCATCTTCCTTCGACCCTTTTCCCATTTCTCAGAAAATTATGAAACCTGAACAGAAAAAAGAGAACGGAGAAATAATTATTGCAACAACCAACACAGCCACTGAGCTTAACTTTCTCTTCCTCAATTTTCTCACCAAACCGATAGAAACCCATAAGGAGAAAAAACAACCTGATTATATAACCAGTGTAGATTAAATCAATTTCCGCTTAAAGAAAATATGGCTCCTCCAATATCCAGAAAATACAGTGTCATCTTCCAAAAATAATTCAAATATCATCCATAAAAGTGAACTGAAATACCGTATCCTGTCTCTTTTAAAGAAAAGGGAATCCTTTTTCAACCAACCTACATGCCAATGCAATATATTACATCAACATCACTTTTTCAACCAACCTACATACCAATGCAATATATTACATCAACATCATTTTCCCTCCTTCTCCTACATTTTCTCAGCAACCAAACAGAATCAAAATCCGATAAAATGAAGCAAAATAATTTAAACAGATGCAAATGTTATTGCATGAACATCAATTACCCTCCTTTACTTCTCCTACATTTTCTCAGCTACCAAACAGATGGAAAAGCAGGTTTTGCCTCCAATTATTACCAAAATCTGATAAACTGAAGTAGAAGAGTAAAAACAAATGCAAATGTTGTAACACGAACGGCAATTACCCTCCTCTACTTCTCCTACATTTCTCAGCAACCAAACAGATGAAAAATCAGTTTTTCACTCCGATTGTTATCAAAATCCGATAAAGTGAAGAAAAAATGCAGAAATTTTACTTTCTTTTCCTAAATTTTCTGACCAACTAAACGGAAAATAAGAGGAGAAAATCAAAACCAACCTGATTATAAAACCAGTGTGGCAGCTCGAATCTATGTCTGCATCCACAAGCGAGCAGAGAAGAAACCCTAGAAATTGGGAACCGAGAGAGAAATTGAAGATAATAAGCGTTGCGGAAGACGATCGGAGGAGGCTGAGAGTCGGACATTTTTGGTGGGAAGTCGGTTACAGAGGCAGCGGAGGGAAAGAGATCAAAGGGAGAGAGTGAAATTTGCCGATTTTACCGCTTAGCAATTATAGCCGTTGAACCCTTGCTGATTTTTGAACGGTGCTCAAGTTTCTTTGTAGTACCTAAAAAGACTTCCAAAGTCTTTCAAATTAAGAGCTGGTTTGAACGTGCTTTTAAAATAATCGAAAGTGTTTTTGGTGAAAATATTTTTTAAATCAATCCTTTGTAAAAATGCAAGTAAATCTTGAAAAAGCACTTAAAGTACTTCTCGAAAGAAGCACATAATTGGTGCTTCTTGCGAAAAGCATTTAAAATGCTTTTAGGAACTCAAAAACATTTTCTCTAAAAGCGCTTTCAGTTATTTTAAAAGCACATTCAAACTAGCCCTAAACCATTAAGCCTTTTTCTTAACAATAAGATATATGCTAAATTCATTTAAATTACGGAAACTGAAATTTAAAATTCTAGCTTTTGTTGTACGGGCAAATTTAAGAGTTTTTTCACTACACGAGATGAGTATCGTTAACATACAGCACAGCACACTATCTCTTGGTTTCGAGAAATTTTCCAATGTGCCGGATACATAAGTGATAATACAATTGATTAAAATTACTTTTTTCAAGTTTCCTACCAGTTGTATTATTACCCTTTGTGTGTCAAATCGTTCTCCAGACACACTAAAAACACTTACTGTACTAGACCGTGTTCTCGACGCTGAAAACTCTGTTGTTGGTTCGCAATCGCATCAAGGTGTCACGCATTTTCACTAGTATGTCGAGTAAAAGCTACAGTGTTTAACAGCAAAAGGTCATATATTCCTTTTTCTTTTTTTTTCTTTTTTTTCAGTGGTTGTATTATTTGGGCAAACTGCTCCCTAAATACCGAACACTCTAAAACTGTAGGTTAAGGGGAACAAAACAGAGGGAAAAAAAAAAAAAAAAAAACAAAAGGATCTGTACAATGAGATTGGCAGCCAAAATTTCATACACCCCTTCCCTTCCCTAACTTGCAGGATGATCATGATCGGTACAACAATCGCAATGGCTGGAGTGAGCAGACAGACAGACTGAAAGCCGGTAAAAGAATCTCGCCCGTACAAGAATCAGAGGAAGTCGAAGCGTCAGGGCATCGGAGCAATGAGTTCCTCCCCATCCCTACTGTTCATGGCTCTCATGTTAGAATTGCTTTGTGGTATCCGCGTGAAAAAGACCAAACAAAAAATAGCCACCACCATTGACAAAGGAGAACCAGAACAAAGACTGATTCCACCAAAAATATTGTCGGAGTCTCATCTGCTACAGTCTCTTTGGGCTGCAGAACGGCAAGCTGAGAGGGATTTGGCATTTCCATTGTATCGTCTCACGCTTAACAGTGGTGTTCTACTCTTCATCGTCGCTGGAGTCCTCGGAAGAAGTTTTGATCGCTTCCGCGGTCATGAGAGAAACCACGGCCCTGTGGATTGCTTGATCTGCTCTGTAAAACAATCTCTGAGCTTTATCTCTCTTGAGCCTTGCCATTTTATGTGCATGCTGGGCGGCACCAGATGCATCACGCAATCTGAACTCATCAAGATCAGAATCGTCCAGCAGTCCCATGCCATGCCTCGGAGACACTTCTGGTTGATAATACCGCGGGCTTGACCAATCAGGGATACCTGCATTCCATCGATGAACTTCATTTCTGTTTCCTACAACTCTAGGACTGTATGAAGACACCATCTGCGGGCCAACAGAAGATACCATTCTCCCATATTTCTTTGACTTGCTCCTATGAATTCTGCGGAGACGATTTCTCCCAAACCCATCATTGCTCATCAACATGTTAGCTGCATCCCTTGGTGAAAATACCCCAGGCAACGTCTGAGACAAGGGGGAGTCTTCTAAAGAGTCATAGTTATGGCCTGGATATACCACCCTTTCATCACCGAAAGCAAATCCATTTGATCTCCTTCCTGAGAGAAGAAAGAAAACCCAATTAAGAAAAGATGCTTCCACAAGAAATTAGTCAAACAAAAAAAATGCATGTAGCGTAAAGATTTCAATTAAACATATTAAATAAGGCTAAACAAATACCAAAAGCATGGATACCATCGTGATCTCCTAACATGACACCATTATGTCCAGAAACTGAAAATTTCCTCTGTGACCGTTGTTTAGATCCCTTGTTGGGAACTTCTAGTCCCCGTGGTTTCAGACAAAAAGCAAACATTGGTGGCTTTTCAACTGATGAAGGTTTCCCATGGCATCCATTAGGGAGCGTGGTATTGGTTTTGATCATAGCTTGCTCCCACTCTTTCACTTGTTGTTGATACCTTTCCCATGACGGTGGCTGCAAAGGAAAAAATGAATTTATGTGATGCATCAAGATGAATGAAAAGACAGCTGATCTTCATCAAGGAAAAGAAACAAGCATTTAAGCACGGCCAAGAAGTAATAGACATAAGCATCCAACCCCGTGCATTTACCACATGAAAGAAGCTCCAGAACCCACCCCCAAAAAGACCCATAATTTGGGTTTCAAATAACAAAAGAGTTACGGTATGAAAAAAGCGCTGGGGGGTGGTTTCCGATATTAACAGTAAAAAACAAAAATATACCTCTGTTAAGAAAGAATATGTACCTGAAGATGTCGGATTAAAGGCATTCCCTTCCTGAGCCTTTTCTGTTGCCAATGCTCATAAATGGATAAGATCACGTCCATGGGCCCAACTCCAGCACCATCCACGAGCTCTTCTATTTCTTCAGATGTGAACTCATGTTGATCAAATGCAGCCTTTTCAAACATGTCCATTGTTTTCTCAAACATCTCATCTTCGATCTCTGTTGAGCCACAATTGTGAACTTCTGAAGAATTTTGAAACTGCAAAATCCACTGCTCATCATCACTATCCATATCATACAAGACCCGAGATGGGTCCAAAGCCATTTCAACATCTGTTTCTATTTGCCGGAAATACTTTGCAGAGCTGCGAAGAAATGATATTTCAGTTAAATTATCATCGCTTTCTTCAATTAAGCGGACACCAGGAATAGGAATGTTTTTTACTGAAGCAGAGCGGATATTCCGATTGTAACACTCTTCATGCATCTCCCTAAAAAGTGCCCACTGACTCCTATCTGGAAACTCTAAACCCCAATTCCAATCCCTTCCTCCTTTCCACATCATAGCATGAGTATAGCGGTTTGTTGTCCCAGGCTGCAAAAATTGATGTGCTTTGTATGAGTACTTTGTAGTCCCTGAAATTTTTACAGCAAGCTTCCACTCATTATGATCAAAAAGCTCTAATACAACATGGGCCCCAGATTCCCTCCACCCTCTGTCACTGCCATTGACTAACACATTTGCCTCGCATGATAAGAGCTCCAAGTTTCTTTGGGAACCTCTGGAAGCATCTGATGACCTCTTCTCATTATTAGCCCTCCTGATTCGTTTATGAGGAAGCCCCTTCTGAAGGTTTCTTTGCTTCGAACTAAAATCAAAACCTCCATAAGGCAAAGTGTAGGACACCTGAGTTCGCGGCTTCTTTGGTCCACTGCCAAAACCATTATGGAAAAGATCAGTTCCATCAGACCAATTATGTGAGAGGTGTCCAAGTGATGAATTAATTCTATTTCGGTGCCCTGTACTTCTGGGAGCAGTGGGGTTAGGGCTGGGGATAATGCTACCATTCATATTCCAAGAAAATTCTGTAGGCTGTTGAGCACCTTGCACCTCCTTATCCACAGGCTTCTCATATCGGTCAAATGATGGAATTTCAACAGTGAGACCATTCGGAAGAGATTGGGAATCAGTGTCGGACTTGTCTCTACCAACCAAAGGCCTTGGGGATAAAGAACATTGATCTGACTCTGGATGATGGCTTTGCAATGCCTTCGACTGTACAACTTCATCTGTTCCAGTCTTTTCAAGGACACCAGTTCCACCAGAGGATACAGAAACATCAAGACCACCATTTTGGAAATGCTGAGATGAATTTGTCCGAGCTCCATGGCATACAGAAATAGCATTTTCAGCATCTGGTTTGGCACAGGACCCATCAGAAGTAGCATTACTTGGTGGAGCCTTCAAATTTTTCTGAGGAGTAATTTTCGAACCTCCGCTAATAAAGTCCTCGACGATAGACCAGTCAACTGCCAACATACTGCCAGAGTTTTCAACATGCTCCACTGAATCACGGTCGCCAAAGCAGATATTAGCAACACAATTTTCCATGAGCAGTTTAAGATGCAAACTAATGAAGAAAGTAGGTGCTGCAGCAAAGGAGAGGGCAAGTGGAGGAAGTTTTCGGCATAGCTCATCATTACGAGAAGTAGGATGACTAATATTTACAGATGTAGATTCCCTGGAACCACCCATGAAGTTAATACCCTGCCTGGACCTCCTCTGTGTACCCTGGTTGTTGAAAAAATTAGAGTGAATACCTTCATAATACTAATACATTGAAGAACAATATAATTATCTACACAACAAGACCGAAAAAATTCTGTTAGAACCAAAATTATATTCAGAAAACGTGGAGAACATAAGACAAATACCTTGACAAAGGAGGAATGCACACAAAGAGGCATAAAAGGTGATTGATTTCTTCCATTTTGAAGTGCTTTAATACTATCATAAGTGCATTCAGACAGGGGCAGTTTCTTGGTAAGCAAACAATGGCTCATAAGTTGCGAGTCTAGGTACTTCCACTTTGAATTTTTTACTTCCAAAAAGTTGTAGAATGCAAACACAAGTTGCTTCCCAAGATGCTGAACACAGGAGAATTTGAACCTGATTGAAGTTGCTGGTAACCGGAAATCAATAGACTTCCCCTGGTCATTGGGTTGATGAAACAATGACAGGACAAGAAAAACAAAGGCCACAGCCTGCTTCAAGCAACCTTCAAACAACAGAAATCTCAGTCCAACTACATTGTCAACAAAAAGCATCTCCAAGTAAACCTTTGGCCATGAAATCACCACTGCACCATACCTACACAGCATTGCAGCACGAAACAACCGAAACTCTACTCCAAAAGAATCATTAGTAATTGAATGCACTGGAAGGCCTAACTCAAAAGTAACTCTTCCTGGTTCTATCCGTGGAGGAGTTAATTTCAGCAGTCCTGCATCATCAATAGACCACAATGGTCCATTGGCATCCAAGCTTCCCAAGAAATCATACAGTGACCCAGGCTTACCCGCAGAGGCCTGGTCATCCTCGGATGTATGAGACAATTCAGACTCATTCTTCCGAAGCCGCCTTCGAAAGTAAACAATAGGCATTTTGCTATCTTTGAGGCTAGTGCTGCCCTGAGAGGTAGACTTTTCTTGCCTCACATCATCACATGATCTGCCAAATTTTTTATTTTTATCCCTTCTAAAGGAGCCGTCACCCAAAGATTCATGCAAAGTGGCATCTTCATCTGACAATTGCGGCACAGACTTTAAAGATAGACCAGATGTTTTTTGCTTCTTCACAGCACAGGAGGATGACTTGACCCGACCCGTAGATCGCGCCAACCATGAAATAATGGGTTCAGTGTCCATATAGCTGCCTATGCGGCTACCGTCCTCTGAAGTCAAGTTTCTCTTTTTCTTTTCTTTTCTGCATTTCATGTCTCCTTTTCTCTCATCAGGACTTCTATTCCTCACCTTTGATTTTTTCTGCTCTGTCTTACCGGGAACTTCACTAGGGAGTAACAAGAGCTTGAACCTCTCGTTTTGAAGGTCAATCCATTCTTCATCCCGATCATCGTACTTCACATGATGAAGTTTTTTTTCCTTGTCATAGTCATTCACAAGACCATAGTACCAACTTTGGTCTAGAGGCCAGAAGACTTTGATTCTCTGGTTCAATACCCAGTAAGCATCCAAGTTCCCAAAGAAAACTTCATAGAAATGGCGCCTCTTCCGCGAATGTCCCTTTTCATTGTGCTGTTTCCTCGGCCTCAATACTCTACCAGAATTATCAACCGAATTAGATTCTGACCCAGAAATAGACTTTGACCTATGACTACCAAAATCCTGTTCAGAAGATAACAAAAAAGACAACCCATTTACAGAAGCCTTGTTGTTTGAAGAAAACCCAGTGCAGCTTGGATCAAACCTTGATGAAAGCATCCTTGCAGCATTCTGTTCAAGATTCTCCTCATCATCTTCTTGTAAATTGTGGCCTTCTTCTGTAGAACCATCAAACAAAGGCTCAGCTTCCTTTTCAGAACTTTTACTGTGAGGTAGCCAAATCCTTCCTCTTCCTACGATTCCTCCGAGACTTCTTCAAAGATGAATCCCCATTGCTTACAGCCGAATGACTTGTAGGAACGTCTTCTTTCTTAGCATGTGGTGCTGAATTCAACTCACTATTTATGTTTTCTTTAAAGTCATGAAGACCCTTTTTTCGCTTAACCTTCAAGGACTCTGCTTGAGCACCTAAATCATCACCATTTAACGTAGCTGTCTGATTTGTCTGATCAATGACACCCACTTTACCAGCAGACTCATCTGGCAGCTTGTGAGCGTGACCACCATCAAATTTCTTCCTCCCTACAAAACCCCGTTTACGCCTCGGGATTTGAATGACCTTATTATTCAAACTAAGTGACGAAACACCATTCAACCCACTACTGCTATCCAATCTCTCGCTCGACCCAGATTTCAATGCCTCCGGATCATGTGAACCAGAACTCAACCCGCTACGAAACACTTTATCTAAACTCTTCTTGCTACTGGTATTAACATTCTTCAAACTACTAAGAGAAGCCTCTTTCTTACTCTTCTTCGTCTTGCCCCCGTTCTCATCGCCATCCTCGGCACTAACTTTTCTCTTCAAGCTCTTGTTTTCGACACCTTTCCTACTTCTTGATTTATACAAAGTTTTAAGATCCAGAGATCTCGATTTTTCAGGAATTTCAGTGCCATGTGAGTTCTCTACTCTATTTTCCATCAACAATCCCTCAGTCCAACCGACCAAACCGACGAACCCCAATTTCACATTCCATCATACATGTTTTCAGATCTGTTACACCAGAAACAACGCAAAAAATCACAAAAATGCCTCAACAGAAACCAAAATCAAACAATCAACCTTATTCCCCCACGCATTCAGATCATTTCCAGTAAAAACAACAAAAATTACATCCAATTTCAAATTAATCAACTCAATAGCACGCGTACCTTAACCGCCAGACGACGAAGCATCGGTTCCTCGAACAAAACGCGAAGATCACGAGCCCAAATCATGAATTAGGGATCGAATCCGCACCTCCCGATTTGAAACCCTAATGTAATTCCCCAATTTTCGAATTTAACTTTCGATAATTGTTGAAATTTCCCCCTTTTCTTAACCGTAAGAGACGGGACAGAGAGCTAGGGTTTCTTAGGTACCGCGAGAGTAAGGTTTTTGATCAAAAAATAACCAAAAAATCGATAACTAAATGGAAAATAAACGAATCCTCTGGATAATGCCACGTGGCGAAATCAGGGATGTTCGATTGGCACGTCCGAGGTGGGCATTCACTTCCTGTGGACGGTCGGATTTCGTAACAAAGAAATGGACCGTTCAGATTCAGGGCTTTATTTTTACCGAAAAAGTGTTGTTTTACGGATTTAAAACTGGGCCTCGTTTTCTATTGAATATCGGACATACAAATACAATTGCGTTTGGGCGCCAGAAAGGAAGCACAAGATGTACTCGCTAGAGTGTCTGCTGTTTGATACTCGCCGTGTCCATGTAACACGTGGCGGGTTATGAGGACCGCATGATCACAGTGCACTGGCAGGTGTTGGTAGCACCCAAAGAGTGGAAGTTAATAGACGTAACGGTATGGTGACCTGTCCATTCGGACCCCGTGTAATTAGCAAGAAATAACTGGGCCGTGAAGAAAGCGGATGGGACCAACCGGCCTAAAGTTTCTTAATTATGAAAGAAAAGAAAATAATATGGTATCAAATTACGCGTTTGCAAATCCGTAACATTATGTTTGGATTCGTAAAAATTATATGCATTAATTTTATTATTTGATTTATAAATATAGAAATTTAAAATTTTTAAGTGAAAAAAAAAATTTAGAATTTGGAACCATCAATTTTTAAATTTAAATTTCATGTAAATAGTTTGTCATTTTCAACTTTTCGTGAATAAGAGTTTAAGAATAAAAAATACAAAAAACAAACTCTAAATTTCATGTAATATATTGTCATTTTCAAATTTTCATGAATAAGAGTTCAAAAAAAAAAAAAAAAAACTCAACTATGAGTTGCCACTACCACAGCTGTCGCACGCCACCACATATTGATTGTTGTGTTCCCTACGGTTGTATCTGACACCACCGATTGTGATCACCGCCGCCAACACTACCCACCATCATCACTGCCGTCTCCGCCGCCACTACTAGCACATTTCCTAACTACTATATCCTCATTATATTAATGACTCTATACAAACAATATTATATATGTGCTAGCAGAGAGTACACACTTTGTGTGTATGAACAATTTCTTTTAATAAGTGCATTTTTTTAATATTACATAATTAATGTTTTGTCCTCCTTATGTAAATATTGTGTATCAAAAGTGAGAGTAAAATTGAAAAAAAATAAGTATATGATTGTCATTTTAGGGAAATTAAAAAAAAAGAGGGTGAAATATTAAAAAAGGGGTATGATTGTTATTTTATCGAAAGGTACAAAATTGCTATTTTACCCTCCTTTTGTCAATAATGTGTATCAAAATTGCTATTTTACCCTCCTTTTGTCAATAGTGTGTATCAAAATTACTATTTTACCCTCATTTTGTCAATAATGTGTATCGAAATGTACAAAATTGCTATTTTACCCTCTTAATAGTATAGAAGTATAGATTATGTTATCATGACAAGAAAATTTACAAATTCTAAAGCATAAGAAGGTATATTCAATTGGGATTACGAGATATTTTAATTCTTTTAATAAATCTTGGGGTATTCAATTAGGATTTTAAGTAATTTTCAAATTCAACGTGTATTCAATCATAATTTTAAAATAGTTTATTAAAATATTTATAAATCTGGCTGTATTCACTTATAATTTTAAGTGATTCTCATATTCAATGCATATTCAACCAAAATTTTAAAACTTTTATTAAAATCCTTATAAATTTGAACGTATTCAATTAGGATTTTAAATAACCACCACAGGGTGGGCCAGTGGTTGGGATGAATTCCAGACTCGTATTCTACACGACACACCCTGAGTTCAATTTTTATTGATGGTGAATTGCGCGATGGTGGTTAAGGGAAGGATGAAATGTCTCCGTTAGTCTTCCTTGCCCCTAGATGGGTGGAATGTATGGCGAAGCCACCAGTTGGTCCCCTTTTTCAAAAGAAAACAAAATTAGGATTTAAAAGAAATTTATAACATTTCAACTGTATTTAATTAATAATTCATTTTATAGATTTTTAAAAAGTTGAGGAATTCGAGTGAATTTGATAGATTTCATAGTATATTTTAAGCATTCACAAATCTTACATCTCGCCTTCAGATTTCAAGGGAATTGAAATTTTGCATGGAATCTTTACAAATCAATTAAACTCCATCACGATTCATAGATTTATAAATCCATAAAAATCCTTCAAAATCTCGATTGAAATACACCCCTCTAAATTCATGTCATTCCAATTTCCGCTATATTAAAATTGCTTAATTTTTGTTAATTTTCCACATCCAAACGCAATGTAATTGAATAGAGAAATTAAATTAAAGATGGAAGACAATTGGGGAAAATTGTAATTTGGATTCTCGTTAACGTTGTTTATTATTATTATTTTTTAATCTCTACTAATTAATAAAACGCTCATTGTCAACTAAAATCCTATGAAATTATCAGTTTAACCCTTTAATTAAAACAGAACATGAATAAGGAATATGGGGTAGAAATGTAATTTCACACAACCAAATTTTGTTGTTTTTTTTTTCAAAGCATCATCTACATGTAATCCTAACATATATTTAATTACAAAAATAAAAAATAAAAATAAAAACCTTCCACTCCCACATTCTCTATCACTCTCTTCCTCTCTTCTTCTATTTCAAAAAAATAAAATAAAAAAAATTCTCACACACTTTGTGTGTGCCCATATGCTAGTTTTAATTATGGTATGCATTAATTTTATATAGATTTTTTACTAATTCATTTTTTTACCTTACACACACTTCTTGGAATTTATGTTATTTTATCTTCTTAATTTCATTCGATCAACAATCATAAATTGAGAGTGTGAAAGGTAAAAAGAAGTGTTTGGATAGCGTCACCCTAAAAATTATTAGGAAAACTAACTAAAATTTCTCAAAAACTTTAGTTTTAATGAAAATGACAAAATAAATGTGTAAGTGAATAGGACTAAGAGTGACTTTTCAAGATAAAAATGTCATTAACATTAAAAGTGAACAGTATTATGAGTGTTTCGTTAAGATTCCCAAAATTATTTTGATTACAGTTGAATCTCTCCAAAATGATAAATTGAATTCCTTCCTAATTAGTAAACACATGAGTGCTTTATAATTAAAAGATGAATGTTAGTTATCTTCTCCATTATAATTAAAACATGAGTGATTTAGATCATCAAATAATATTGTAAAATATTTTGAAAAAAGAGAAGTAAAAAAGAGAACATAAAAAGGGAAAAATTAATATAGTAAACAAACATTTACCGTGTCACATCCTGGTCCAGGATCCATCACATTCCGGGCTCGACTCTACCTTAGCACAATATTGTCTGTTTTAGACCCTGATCATGACCTCACGATTTTATTTCTAGGTATGCAATACTTAAAAACTTTTATGGAAGTGATATTATTGATATTAAAATAAGAGATGCACTTAGTAATAATATGATTTAAATTTATTTTTAACAATAATTAAATATAGCATCTTTCACTTTCAACGTAATACTAAATGACAACAATTTTTTAGAGTTAAAAGCTTTTTTTCAACATCTTCAGGCTTAGCCAGATGGAAAATGTATATAAAACGACGGACCATTGTGCAAAAGTCCCCCGTATGTGTCGATACTCCAGTAAATATTTTATTTTCTTCTGCTTTTATATTTTAACAAAATTTTCTTCGCTGTCACAACAAAAACTTTCCAAAATTTCCAATTAGATTCAGCCATTCGCGCGATCTCGATCTAGACGCAGCGTTTCACCATTCCCGCGACCTTCAATTCCGAATCAGTTACTCCTCACTTTGCTTACAAAAACCTCGATTCCACAGGTCTAGGGTTTCAGATCTCGCACTCGTGGAGGTAATTTTCCAATTCCGTCCTTTAATTTCACCTTTTTGCTGTTTGGATGCTCGGAAAGTTGGGGAAGGGAAAAGAAAATTGGGGTTTTGATGTGGGTTTTCAATTGAATTTCGCATCAATTAAGCAAATTGGCAATGGTGAATTTTATCTGATGTGGATTATCTAATGGAGTAGGCATTTGAGAATTGGAGTGATTTCTGCGGTTTCAGGTGGTTATGCTATT